TATTTCTTTTTATTATGAATATTTATTACAATTCAAACATTTTATTGATATTTTAGATAAAATGATGGGAAAGAGAGAATCTTCAATTTTAGAAGAAAGTGAAAGGTATCGGCGGGGGGGGNATGAGGGAAAATTTACATACATTGTACCAAAAACAACATTTATAAAGATGCTGCATTCAAAATTTATCTCACTAGTGTTTACGCACTGTAACAGCTTTATTTGACGTCATTGGTTATTTTGGTTGCAATTGAGCATCCAACAATCAACATTAAAACTGCAATTATTATATTTATATTACAATATACAATATGCAATTTACATTATACAATATACAATATACAATATACATTGTACAATAAAGAATTTACATTGTACAATAAACAATATACATTGTACAAGATACAATATACCTTGTACAAGATACAATTTACATTGTACAAGATACAATATACATTGATCAAGATACAATATACATTGTTCAAGATACAATATATTATTATTATTGATTTATTTCGTACACAAAGGTAAAATGGTACAATATGATAAGACAAAAACAAGAATAAAGTATAATATATAAATATAAATATAGTTTCTAGTCGGAACATAAAAAGTTAATCATGGTTGCGATCTCATTATCATCAAAGTTGTTTAGAACGAAATTATCTTCTTTACCTTTAAGTAATTCATGAAGAATGGGTAATTTCCATTCTTGGTCTATAGGAATATGATTGTATATCATATTTTGTTTCACGCAAAATTTTTTTAGATTTCTAGATTGTACATTACAATCTTGTGCATTTTATTTGATCTACCAAGAGAAACCCATAGATATTTCATTGAGCCCATTTCTAATGTTCCTCATATTCAAACAATTTTATGCACTCGTTTTGTACAATTTGTGACCAATTTATCAAATCTAATACTTTTAGTAGATCTAAGTAAACAGGATTTAAGAACTGTTTTATGTTAAAATCTTGAATCTATTGCGAATAGCAATGTTCCATGAATTCAGGAGTTTTTGAACATCCCTACTGTATAAATCCCAGAGATTTGAGCTATAGAAATCACAAGTATATATATTGTACAATTTTAACACTGTGGATGTATTAGCATAATGAAATTCTTGATTAAGAGAATGTATTTTAGAAATAAATTTAGCACGTTTACATAGAACCATTAGACTGCAGTGTGTTGCCAAGATGTTTAATTTCCGTTACATAGGGTAAGGGTAAATTTTTCAAAAGTATCGGGAAAATATTATCAGTATTCATGACAGGGTTACTGAAAACTATACATTTTGTTTTTGATTTGGAAACATCTACATTTGTGCTAAATTTTAACTGATAAAGACTAGTAAATTTTTTACAAACATTAGTCATTAACTGTAGTCCAGATCGACTTAGAGATAATAATATAATGTCATCCGCATAAACCCAGATTCCTAGGTATACGCAATTTAGTTGACAACCAACTTTCAGATTTCTAAGTTGAATAATCAGATCATTTATATAAACACAAAACAATATAGGCGAGGAAACTGCACCCTGGCGTACACCCTTTTTCACATTAAAAGGTTGTGAGATAATGTTCCCCCATCTCACATTACACATTTGATATGAGTAAATATGTATTAAGCATCTTAATATCAAAGGTGATATTTTTCTTTTTAAAAGTTTAGGAAATAGTTTAGCCCAAGAAACCATGTCAAATGCTTTACTTAGGTCCATTGAACAGGCATATATAGGCCTGCCTAGTCTATTATATGATCTATTACAGTGTTTATCGCCCAAGTACACATAGATGTGCTAGATTTAGCTTGAAATCCAAACTGTAGCTCATCTGTTGCTAGTTTATCACCTTCGAGAATAATGATAAGCCAATCAAACCACTTTAATAATAAGCTACCTATAGCAATGGCTCTGTAGTTATCACTTGATGCAATATCTCCTAGATTATCCTTAACAATAGGTACTATAGTACAAAGAAGCAGAAATGCAGGAATTGTACCAGTATACGCAGAAACCATTTAAATAGTATTGAGATCATCACACGAATTTAATAGACAACCCGAATTAAAAGAGAAAGTTGGATCACTTTTCCCTGACTTTAATTTAGTTACAGCTTCAAACACAATTTTCTCGTTTTCTCTATCCAGCTCTCCCAGTAGACTAGGATCTGCCTGGAGAGCAATGGATTCCTGAACCCGAGCAAACTCCTCTCCTAAATCATGTTTCTGATAAAGTTCACTGTAAATATCGGCAAAATGATTTGAAATATCCTCTGCTCCAATTTGACCATCAACACTGCTTGATACAGTGCTAGTTTTACCACGGAACTTCTTTATCTCTTGAAGGAGTCCTGTAAGTAGCTTATCCTTTTTAATATTGTGAGCTGCTCGTTTAAGCCTACGCACAGCATATTTATATTGCATTTTAGCTTGCCTATTTATTTCATATAGTTCTCCTACTTCAGGACATCCTGCAGCACGCCAAACTTTTATTCCAGAATAGACTTTCATCCTGGTACGGTTTCACATATTCTGTCCACCCTTGAATTACTTTTTGTCTACCCTGTGTAATGGTTGTCCAACAAGAGGGAGACAAGTAGAAACTGCTTAATCCAACACTTCACATATACCAGTAGCATATGTGTCCACTGTTACATCATGCTCTACACATTTTAAGGAATCACAATCCGGACACTCAATTGGTGGATTTAGGTTTTCCAATAATTGTTGCAAAGTTCCTCTAAAGTTCTCTTTTTCTTCATCATTAGCAGTTTCCCAACTGTGTTTGGGAATTTTCTCTGGTACTTCTACTTCAAGATTTAGTTGATCCACATTCATCCTTGTGTAAATAGGAGAATGTCCAGAGTGATTACCAGGACGGTTAATAACTCCAGCTTCTGAAACTACATTATACAGACCCTGGTTTCCTAAGAAATGATCTATACAAGAAAAATATTCCACACCATTAACTGAAGAGGAGTATATAGCGTTTTCTTCCTCTATTCTATGAGATTCACTTTCATTCGGCAGAGACCAGAAAATACATAGATTGTTGTCATTGACAAACTGACGCACAGTGTTTACAAATAGAGTATCTCTCATAAAATCACAATTCAGATCACCAGCAAGTAAAATATTTCTGCAGTCTGAGCTTTGAATTATCCAGTTTACCTCAGCAAGTTGGTTTAGTAAACCTATTTCATCAAACTGGTCAACTTGAGGGTCAACCATCAGGTATAAATTAACTATCAGTAAATCTGCAGACGGAAAGTTAAATTTTACTGCTTGAACTCGGTACAAATCACTTTTGATATTTGTCACATATTTAGTCAAGGTTTTCCTCCACATTATTGCAAGACCTCCAGAGTCTAGATCCAGATACATAAAATATACATTGAACAAGATACAATATACATTGTACAAGATAGAATAAGTTGTAACAAGACACAATTTAGATTGTACAATATACAATACTGGTCTCTAAGGGGGCTTCGCGCCCATCTTCCATTTCATTTGTGAACATTTTCTCTTTGAATACTTTGAAAATAAAAATAGTGGATTTTATACAAAAAATTTCGTGGATTTTCATCATTTTCAAAAAGCGATCATCCATAAACCTTCCCTTGGGTCACACGAGGTCCCACAACAAATTTGGGTCCGATCAGTTCAGCCGTTTTTATGTTTATTTGGATACAAACAAACACCCACCCAGACAAGCAAAGTATATATATATATATATATACATTGTACAAGACACAATATACAATATCATACATGTACAATATACAATATACAGTGTATATATACTCGAAAAAATTGTATACATATTTGGGAAGGTTTAACTACAGTAATTTTACATTTTGGAAATTTCTATAAGGAGAATTGTTAAAGTTGACACTTGAAAAATTGTGCATTTGGAAAGTTGCCACTTGGTTTGAATTTATTATTTACTATTATTATGAGCATTTGGGAAATTATCAAACATAATTAGAACACCCAGCTAGAAGAAAAAACATGTCAGACATTGTATAAAAAATTATTTGATAAAAAATATACTATTGATTTGCATGCGGCTTTTAGGATAACTTTTAAAATTTTTTTTTCCAGAAATTTTCGGAGAACCCTCTTTGCAGATATTATTACGGACTGATACTCCAATATAAATCTGACCTTGAAAATAGGAATGTATTACTGCATGATGTATAAATATATATTATTGCCTGTATCGTATTTTACTAGTTATAGACTACTATCTGAAGTTAACAACAGTATATTTAGTATTTAGCTTTGGTGTCTTATTCATTTGTTTATAGTTCGTAGACGAACAGTCATTCTAATTTAATCTTAATTTTGTTTGGATTCTTGTTAAAACACAATCTATATTTAAATTTAGCTTGTCTGTCTGTTTGTTTGCATCCAATAAACGTCAAAACGGCTGAACTGATCGGGCCCAAATTATGTGTGGGACCTCACGTGACCCCAAGGAAAGGTTTATGAATGATCAAAATTTTAAAAATTTGTGTTAAAATTTTTTTATTTTGTAAAATTTTGAAAATGCGCGAAAAAATATTATGAAATCCGCAAACTTTTTTGTTTTTGTTTTATACTGTACAAAGAGAAGATGCTCACAGATAGAGCCACAATTATAAGTTGAAAAAGAAGATGGGGGCGAAGCGCCCTAAAAGCCTAGTTTCTTCTAAATATGGCTTGAAATGTGCAACAAAATATATTTGTATCCTCAATCTTTGGTATAAAGTGAAAACCGGAGAAGCAACGAAGTCGCGAAGTAGCAATAGTTATTTTTTTCTTGAAATTTAAACTTTTTATTAAATGTTATTTTTGACTTGCTATGTTGCTATTCACTTGTTGTGCTTTTGAGTGGAAAAATTGATTTAGTTCACAAATCATTGATAAAAGTATTATAATGAAACCCTTCTCAAATTTCAGGATCATTTGTTTCAATAAAAATGCCTTTTGATGATTTTTTTTAATGAGATATTATGAATTCACAATAATGAATGAAATAAAAACAAAAAAGTTTATTTTAGGTGTAATTAGGGCTGGGCAACGTTTCGTTAAAGAACTGCAAGTTTTGAAGATCAACAGAAAATTCCGTTTGTCTTTTGAACGATTTTAGCTAATCGTTAACGAACTATTATTAAAAGTCTAAACGTGCCCAGACCTAGATGTAATATGTTATCTTGTCAGATGCTATTAGGAGTATAAAAATCTTTAGAACAAAAGAACTTTAACTAATGTTCTATAGCAAGAATTCTTGTGATAAAGTTAAGTCCACAGTCTTAAAAACAGTCAACCCTCACCTCTCAGTCCTTGGATTAAATCCTCCTCATCCTCCACACCACCCCTGCACGCTTAAACACACGGTATTAGCGAATACTCATAGCATATAAATAAATAAATAAGTTTGATATGATAAAAATCCGAGGATCAACATTAATATATAGAAAATAAGATAAACATTTTAAGTTAGTCATACTTGTAAAATTACATTTGCTTACCTATTTATTCATTACTCTTTGGATATCATGATCTTCATAACCTCTCCGTCCTGGGATCTTGCTAAGCTACGTTTGTCGCATAAAACGTGCTGGGACGACTCTACACTTGGTAGCCTGGCTGGACAGTACGACGGACTGCATATATCGGCATGGATCATGCATCTTTTAGACATGGTCTGCACTGGGTTGATGCTTTAACAACTCTGATTTGGTTCTGTTCTCTAAGGTTGTGGTCATGAAGAGAAATATTTCTCATAGCATTGTTAAATCTAATTACTCCTAGGTTATCAGTCTTATCTATTAGTTAGTTTAGTTTAATTAACACAGTTTATCATCATGAGTTTAAACAGGTAAAGCTAATTAAATATAAAAACTTGATTTTAATATTATGAATAACACAAAGTTTAATTTTAAAAAAAATCAATTTTTTTGCCAATGTTACCCCTAGATAGGGCCCAGAACCTTGACTATACCCAATAGGTTCCCTCAAAAATTTTCAGCAAGTTTGCCATTTTGGTCGAGCCGTTTGGGCACCACTGATAATATATAACTGTATTTGAATAAAATAAATAAATAAATAATTTGAATAAATTTCATGCACACCAAACACATTATTAACAAATTCATTGAACATACTAATTATCAAAAATAAAACTGAAATGACAAGTCCTGGGAGTCCTGGAGCAACATATCCATGGGTCAAAGCATTCCATCCAAGGCGATCCTAAATTAGCCACGGTGTGTTTGTAAATAAGTGAAAGTAGAAGAAAAATTCAAATTGCAGAATGATACTGCAAGGGAGTATTTATTTTTCTGTATAATTTATCTCTTATATTGATTACTGATATTTACCAAAAATAACTTACGAAATGTACTTTCATCCCAGATCCCATGTGGTCAGAGATGGAATTTTGTGATGGACTCCTGAAAAAACAATGAATTTTTTCTAATTTTTATGAAAATTTAACAATTTTCAGGGGGATTAAATATTTTTAAGGACTTCCTCTTCTGAACTTGAGGAAGAAAATGAAGAGATAATAGTGATAGAACAGGAGGAGGAGGAGGATGATGATGCACAGAGGAAGAAGAACAATTCAGGTATATTTTTCTTTTAAACATTTTAGGCTTTCAGAGCTGAAAACTTAAGAATGAGATATCCTTAATAATCCCGATTACTTAATCTGAGTATCCAATGGACACACTTTTGATTTTCTCTTAAACCGTTTTTTCTTGGAAAAAGTAGAGAAAAATCAATAACCGGTTTTTAAAAAAAGAGAGTCCCCCCCGTTTCTGTATATTAATCTTAAATGGCGCGCAAAATTTCAAATTTATCGGCTTCATATACGCGACTCTGATTGGTTGAATTTTTACACTTTTTGGATACAAGTACAAGATTAGGTTAGTCTCGATATTAAGAAAAAGAGTGGATCAAGCATTAATCTCGATAGCCACCATTCTAAAGTTTTCAGCTCAGGGCGCTTTGTACCCCTCTTGTAGTAATTATTTAAGCGCTTGAATTTTGTTTTTCAAGCAACCATTTTTTCCTTCGTAATTGTAAAACTTTTTTTAAACTTTGAACCATCCACAAACCTTCCCTGGGGTCATGTCAGGTCCCACAAATTTTTCTCGCGAGCTGTTTTGACGTTTATTGGATACAAACAGACAAAGAGACACTCAGACAAACAAAGTTTTATATAAATTATGATTCCGTAGCGGCAAATTGCCCCTTTCTACATTAGTAAATAGTGAAATTTATGGATTTTGCTAATTTTTCTATCTTTTCATATTTGTGGATTTTTTTAAATCCGAAAAGGTCCCACATAAAATTATCAATGAATTTAATGAATTTAAGCCGCGTTTCAAATCCCCCAAAACCGGTTTTCGATTGAGCGCCGGCTAAAATCTTGAAAAATTGATTGCAATTTAAAGTGGAACCATCCTTATTTGAGCCGCGGTTCAAATTCTTTAAATTTAGTTTAGCCGCTCTGGCATTGCAACATACATAGTTAGGTTTAAAAATATATGTGCAGACAAGGGATATATATTTTTTATTTCCCTAGAGGATGAAAAGCAACGAAACATAATGCTTCAGTTCTCCCGATCCATAACTGCTCTCAACTCATTAAACAGCAGCATTGGAGTTCTCAGGTTTAAACATTCTTTTATTCTAATCCTTATATCTTTGCAACTTCATGTTGTAGACAGCAAAATTTCAAACCATGAACTCATTGAGATCGTTATTTAGTATTCTACAATGTGCGCGCAGAATTAGATTCCCTTTACAGCTCTTCTATCATACAGAATAAATCTGACTCATATCCTTTGCATAATTATCTGAGGTGTTTTTTTAAATTGTGTTTTTTTCATTGAAAAATTTGTGCAAAATTTTAAAGTAAACTATCTATATAAATATTTGAGTTAAAAACCTTCTAAATGTGACGTGTTCCACGGCTTCTGAAAAGAGCAACCTCTCCTAAATATCTATCAATCTTAACCTAACCTAACCTAACCTGGAATAGTATAATCAAGAGTTTATCCTTTTTCCAGAAGAAGACTAAAACTAAAACCTTGATTATAATTGAACATATTTGGATTTTATTTCATAAAAAGAACTGGAAACCCCTTTTGTTTGCTGTTTCCTTATCTTCTTCTTTTGCACTAAACATTTATATTTCGCAATTACGCTTAAAGAAATTGCGCAAAAAAACTTGGTAGAATTTAACTGTTTCTTTTTCAGAGCCAAACAGGTTTGGCTGAGGAGGGTTTCAACTACTGCGACTCCACAACAGGTTTTTTTTCAACATGATTTCTTGTTTTGTTGTTTGTTATTTATGAGTTTTTTCTTCTTTCATCCGTAAAATTATACTAAAAAAATTAATTAATCTTTTAAATTCTAAAGGAATAACGGAGTTGAGCTTTTTCCATCAGCTCAAATTTTCTAATCCAATATATTTGTTATATTTTGAAATATCACAGGTCTACGACATCGGGTTGCAAAGATACAGAGTTTGTGACAGAAACTTAATTCCTTTGCAGTTTTTCAATCTTTTTGTGACACGTTAGTATGTTAAAAATGATTTTTATCTAGACCAGATATTTCAAAATTTAAATTTTATTGGATCAAATAAGCTAAGTTTTAGATTTGAATTTGAGGCAAAAAATTAATTTCTTTGCATCATCTATTTAACTTACACACGATTTAGCCCCTAGCACACCCTGCATAAAATATACCATATTTAGAGGCGTACTGAGGGGGGCTACGGGGGCTCATCCCCCTCTAATTCAGTAAATTCTAGGGTTTTATTTTAAATATTTTAGATAAAGCAGGAAGGAGAAAACATTTGGAAATCAATTCAAAGGAAAATATTCTTTCGCATACTAATTTTTCAATTACACAGATAACTAGAAAAGTCTGGAATAGGAAGACAACTTTTAGGATCAAGTTATATAACTTTGAAAAGTCCAATTAACTTGTTACACAGCCAAGGTGCAGTGTAAACAGACCGATTTCTTTAAATTAGTGATTTAATAAGTTTCTAATAAAACATCTTCTTCAATTTATTAGGAATCAAGCAAAGAATGTCTTATGTTTAGTGAAGCAACCCTGGAGACAGATGTTTCAGATTTTAACTTTTCCGATCTTGATGAAAATACAGAAGAATCAGTGGATTGTGTTGATACTTCTTCACTTAGTTCTCTACAAGCTCCACCACCACCTACACTTCCGTCATCTATCCCTTCTCCCCCTCCACTTCCAAGCTATATCCCTCCTCATCCTACACTTCCAACCTCTATCCCTCCTCCCCCTCCACTTCCAAGTTCTATTCCTCCTCCCCCTCCACTTCCATCTTCTGCCCTCCCTCCACTTTTGTCATCTATCCCTCCTCCCCCTCAACCCCTGACTTTTATCCCTAAATATCCCGAACCTTCAACAGATTCAACTGATTCCTCCAGTGTATCACCAGCAGAAGTAAACCCTCCTATCTCATTTAATGAGACGGCTGTTGTCGCAAAACTCTCCGAGTGTTCAATAACATCTTCATCATCAACTCCTGGTTCAGCAGATTCCTCTTCTATTCAAACAGTTACTGCAAAACTAGGTAATATCATCAGATTAAGACTTTTACCACGTCTATTACACATTTTAATCTTCCAAATGGAGAGATGGTGACCATTTTTTATTTTTTTTCGGGATGTTTTACATGCAAAGTTGGCCTTGGGAACATTATTTAAAGTGAAAAATTCCCTAACTCGTGAGTCATTATTGAATCTATAGATTTAAATGGCCCAAAAATCAAAATATGGCATATAAAAACATAACAAAACAAATTCCACCCAGCCAAAAAAAGTATAAAGATAGATTCTAATTTTAGTGAAATTACATTGGAGACCTGTTGTACCTCCAGCTGTCCCGGGATCTATCTGGGAATCCATCCCAAGGTAAATCCAGTTTTTTTCGTGGATTTTCAAAAATCCGAAAATGTTGGGGATAAATTTTTGTAAATCTGAGTATCCTTCTCTGGGGTCATGTGAGGTCCAAATAACATTTTCATTGAAAACAATCTTAAATCATAAACCTCAAAGAAAATAATTGAATTGTGTTTGACAAAATAAGTAAAAAAGATTACAGTAATAATATATTAACTTCAGGGGAAATTAATTCCAAAACTAACACTTGCCTATTTCTAACACTGAGTGTTAGAATATGGGCCAGATCTGCAAAGTTATATTTTTCAAGAGTATATATCTTTACATCCACGCCGAGTAGAACAAATCTACACCATATATTTATTAAAAATGACTAAAACTATATATTGTAACAATATATGTTATCTTTAAATTATACTAATAATAAGGTTCGAGAATTAGTTTTTGATGATACTTGTGTTAATTTTCGAGCATATCCCTATTTTAAAACAATTACCGCATTTCAGCTCATGTTGCGTTTTCTGAACATATCCTGGTTTTGAAACAATTACCGGAATTCATATCAATGTCTATTTTCAAGTATTTACTCACTTACGTAACAAAACAAGATTTTTTGATGAGGTAAAATATGAATAAAATGGAACATACAAACAACACGTTTTTTTTTATAAATATAAAATCATTACGGCATAAAGAAATAAAAATATTAAAATTATTTTATTCTTTCGAAATATATTTCACCAGAAATGCGGTAATTTGATTTTTTTAAAAGCTGGAAAATAAATCACCGATATTCTATGATTTAACAGATAAAATGTGATGTCTTCAGTGATATATATATTGTAAGTTATGCAAGTGAGGTTTGTTTTAATTGCAGATTATACTCAAAAACGGGAAAGTGTGTTTTGTCTCGAAATCGCGACAATGATTCAAATTCAGGGTGTGTTCGAAAATTAAAAACATGGATTTGTCTTGAAAACGGTCAAGAACTTCTTTTAAAATTTTGATTTCAGAAAATAATTTAATAATAGGACTTATTGTCCTCGTCATGGCTAATAAAATTTTGGTTTACTTTTTATTATTGATTTTTGTCTCGATATTGGCCGGGATCCTAAAATTTTAATTTGTGGTCATTTCTAACACTCAGTGTTAGAAATGTGCCAAGTGTTAGTTTTGGAACTAATGTCCCCTGAAGTTAACAATTTATTTTAGAATTGATCTTGATAGCAGTTCTATCCTTTCATCATTTACAGTGAAAGAAACAAAACCTAATTCATCAGCTTCGAATTCAGCAAAGGTTTAAATATTCAAAAGTTTATTAATTTGTTTTTATTTAAAATCAAAGGAATTGAGTTTTTGTAACAAACTCTGATTTTCTAATACCTATATTTTTACTCGATAAAGAACGTCAACGCTTTAAAGGGTATTGTTGTAAATTGGGCATTGTCCTCTTTGCATATTGAGGGTCACTTGAGATTACGCTGACAGTCCCTTTAGGAAAATGAATTAGTTTAAAAATGGTCCCTTTTTCAGAAGGAACTTCGAGTATTAGACACAAAAAGGTCAAATCAGATCAGTATTGGGATTAAGGAAAGTCAATTCAATTTGATTTGAAATTAATAAATTGGGATGGGTGCCTGAAATATGATACAAACTATAGATTTGTTTGTTTAGCAATCTCTTGACTTGTTTTTTTTACGAAAATTTTTCGAGTTTGACATATTTTTTTTGTTGGTGAATTATTGACTTTTTTTCGCAAACTAATATTTTGTTTGTTGACAAACTATCCATTTGTTTGTTTGTCAAACATTGGTTTGTTTGTTTAGCAATCTCTTGAGTTGTTTTTTTTACATAATATCAAGTTTTTTTGCAAACTATGATTTTTTTTTGTTGCAATTTTTATAATTTTTTTGTTGCAAACTATTGACTTTTTTGGAAATTTTAAAACTTTTTTATGTCAACTATTGACCTTTTTTGTGAAGAATCTACCAAAACTATCTGAGCTGAAAGCCACAATACTGAAAATGGATGATGGTAATATGAGTCGGGAGGGTGTAGAGAAACTTCAGGTAATATACACCATACAGTGAGAACCAGAAATCAATGGAATAAGAAGACGACTTTAGAGCAATACTTTAAGTGTATTTGATATTGTTCCAAAGCATGTAGTTTTACACGACACTTATTAAGTCACTAATTAAGTTTAATGCAGATTAACTAAAGATCGAAATCAATACTAATACAAACAATATATTCATTTTCACTTGATCTCCTTGATCCATTCTATAATATTATAAAAAATACATTCATTCTCACTTGATCTCCTTGATCCATTCTATAATATTATAAAACAATACATTCATTCTCACTTGATCTTCTTGATCCAATCTATAATATTATAAAACAAAACATAATCTATATATGTACTTTTACTTTGCTTGTCCTAGTGTTTTTTTTGTATCCAATAAACATCTATTTGTAATTTTCAATTTGCTACATTTTCAGCAGCAATGAGGCCAGGGCCAGAAGCCATTTTGGAGAAAAAATGTTGTTATGCGTCAGCTAAAAACCTAACTTTTAATAGCAAGGGTATTTTTTTTATAAAATCTTTTTAATTCCTAGTTGTTGATGCCGACGGAGGAAGAAATACATCTGATTAAAGGTATGTTTAAAACTATAGGCAGCCATCTTTGAACTTAACAATATTCAAAATATGTTATTTATAATCACAAACTGATAAAAGTAATTTTACTTGAAGGGGCTGTAACAGTATTTTCAATTGTGACTATCTATGCAAAAATGCCAACGTTCGATTGACATTGGTACCCTTAAAAGCTTTGTCTGATCAAGTATGAACTATATTTCAATGGTTATATTTTTGAAAACTGATTATTTTCTATCGTGGGTTCTCTACAAAAGTGATTTGCGCATTTCTACATTATAGATTTAAACACATTTAAAGTTTAAACCTAGAAAAACAAGAATAAATTCCACATTATTGATCAGATCAAGGTGTCAACGTTGTAAATCACTTCTACACTTTTATAAAGTGAACTTTAAGAGAGCTTCCAATAAAAGAGTTGTATATCGGAAGTAACAAGTCACATTTAAAGCTTTGTATGATCAAGAGCTAAAAAGATATCTAAGTTTTTAACTTTGAAAATCAATTATGTTCAATAGTGGTTTCTTGATATTGACTTTCGGATTTCTGACACAGAATCAATGATGGAATTTGTCGTCCAAAAAACTCTCAAGCTATAGAAGAAAAAGTGAATATCTTCCACATTATTGATCAGATAAAGGTTTAAAGGGATTAGTTGCAAATCTGACATGCCACTCAATAAAAAGAATGCCGTTTGAACTTACAATGACAGTCCCTTTAATTAATTTCAAGTGCAATTTATTTGGCATAAAAGAATTGCGAAACAGCTTTTGGTAAAGACCCTATTTTAATTTTTAAATTTGTGTTTTCTAGAAGCTGAGAAGGAAAACCCTGGTATTCCGCTAGCTAGTGCAGAGCAGTATCTTCTCACAATATATTCTATTCCAGGTAATAAACCCAGGTATTCCACAACCTAGTGCATCTTCTCACAATGCATTCTATTCCAGGTAATAAACACAGGTATTTTACTAGCTAGAGAAGAGCAGTATATTCTCACAATATAATCTATTCCAGGTAATAAACCCAGGTATTCCACAACCTAGTGCATCTTCTCACAATACATTCTATTCCAAGTAAAAAACACAGGTATTCTAAGTACCTAGTGCAGTATCTTGTCACAATATATTCTATTCCAGGTAATAAACCCAGGTATTCCACTAGCTAGTGCAGTATATTCTCACAATATATAATATTCCAAGTAATAAACTTAGGTATTCCACTAGTTAGTGCAGTATCTTTTTACAATTTATCTATTCCAGGTAATAAACCCAAGTATTCCACTAGCTAGTGCAGTATCTTCTCACAATATAATCTGTCCAGGTAATAAACCCAGGTATTCCATTACCTAGTTCAGTATCTTCTCACTATATATTCTATTCCAGGTAATAAACCCAGGAATTCCACTAGCTAGTGCAGTAACTTCTCACAATATAATCTATCCAGGTAATAAACCCAGGTATTCCACTACCTAGTGCAGTATCTTGTCACAATATATTCTATTCCAGGTAATAAACCCAGGTATTCCACTAGCTAGTGCTGTATCATCTCACAATATATTCTATTCCAGGTAGTAAACCCATGTACACCACTAGCTAGTGCAGTATATTCTCACAATATAATCTGTCCAGGTAATAAACCCAGGTATTCCACTACCTAGTGCAGTATCTTGTCACAATATATTCTATTACAGATAATAAACCCAGGTATTCCACTAGCTAGTGCAGTATCTTCTCACTATATATTCTATTCCAGGTAATAAACCCAGGTATTCCACTAGCTAGTGCAGTATCTTGTCACAATATATTCTATTCCAGGTAATAAACCCAGGTATTCCACTAGCTAGTGCAGGAATACCAATAGCTAAATATAAAATAGACAGTTTAGATAAACAAACACATGGAACACATCGTGAAATTACACCTACAGTACCTTCAGGATTGGATCTACCCGTGCACTAAACTTGAAACAATATTAAATCAAGTAGATGAGCTTGTTTCACTTTAAATTGTTGATCACTGTATAGAATATGTTTAAGGACTGGACTGTAGACTAAAGCTTTGGGCCTTTAAACTTGATTATCAAGCGATGGAAAGGGATATATGTAGTCCTCTTAGATCTCTTCTGGTAACTTTATATATACACCCCCCCCCCGTAAAAAAAACTGAAAAGGAACTAAGTTTTTGCCGCATACTCCCTATATCTTTGCAACCGGATGGGGTAAACCTTTAACATTTTAAACTTGCAGATTATTCAATCTAACATACTTCATAGTTTGAAATATCTAAGGTCTACGACATTGGGTTGAAAAGATTTAGGGATTAGAAAGTCAGAGCTTTGGGCAAAGACTTAATTCCTTTGAATTCTAAATCAATTAAATATAAACGTACCCATAACGTAATTTTTCAGCAGATTTATACTTATATATTTTATACTTTTCTTATAAAATGAAAGTTATGACTTAAAAGTAATAATTTATGCCTTTAAAACGTATGCATTGATTACATTTTTATTATTGCCTTATTTGTGTCAATTATATGACGGTTAATAGTTTTATACAATTTTAGTTAAATTTTGGATAAAACTATTTTATTACTTTTCCTAGGATGGGGTCAATATTCTGAGAAATAATGAGAACTTTGCTGTTTATCTGTCCATTATTCTTTCCATGGGCAATCTTCTTAATAGAACTAATATTCGAGGCAGGAAACATTTATTTTCAAATTAATAACTAATAATTCTAGAGTTAATAATCACAAAATAAACCTAGTCGTGATACTTAAAAAATGTGCCTTTTTTTGTGATTTCAATATACTACCAGAGATATGAAGAAATGTGCTTAAATGAAAAAGTATAAAATAAACAAATCCCTAAGTTTAAAGATTATTGAATTATAGACAAAACACGTTTTATTTCGAATAAACGAAACAGAATGCTTCTCACTCTGGTTATTCCGGGGTGAAATATTATTATTTTTAAGCTTAAAATTAGAATATTAAGTGTCAACTGAAGAGTTTACAGGACACCGCTTATGAAAAGAACTTGAAATTACGTCTGCAATTTGAGCTTTTTTTACCAAAATACAAAATCATTCATTCTTTAGAATTTTGAAGAATTTAAAATATCAATTTTAGAATTTAGATTTGTTTGTAAATAAATGTTTTGGAAAGGATTTAACCTAGAATACCTGGGGAAGATATCTCTGGTAAAAGATACAGATAAAAGAAGATCGTTGCTCTACCATATTGTTAAAAAGGTGAATACACTTATATAACTCCAATTGTTACATGATCCGAACCGGTACAAACGGTATTCTTTGATTGATTTTTTAAACATTGGTTTCTCTAAGAGTGACTTGCGGAATTGTGCTATAGAAATAATGGAACAATGATGGAAGATGTCATAATTAAACACTTCTCAAAGATAGAAAAACGTTGCACATTATTTTTCAGACAATTGTTTGGACGGTACCGTTGTGAATCGAAAATGTCGAATATTGAGGGTTATCATTGTAATTAAATTATTTGAATAAAAATATTATAAACTTCTGGTAAAAAGAAATCCGAATTTCAGGCCAAAGAGCAGAAAGTCCAGACTGATTTTATAAAGGAGTTCGAATGCTTTAGGATTGTATTTTATTTATTCAAAATTAGAAATATGTTTTGTTCTTTTCCCCTAGTTATGAACAATTTAAGAACATTAAAACGGTTAAAATTTTAAAATTTTGATTAAGTTTTTGGCCTGACTTCCGGCCGAATTTGTCCCAATTTTCGACATAATTTGTCTAAATTTCCGGCCTAAATTATTCCAATTTTCGACCTAAATTGTCCCAGATTTCCGGACTAAATTGTTCCTATTTCTGGTATAATTTGTCCCGGTTTCCGGCCTAAATTACTTCAATTTCCGGCCTAATTTCTTAAAATTTCCAACCTCAAATTATTCCAATTTCCGGCCTAAATTTTTCCGATTTCAAGCCTAATTTGTTCAAATTTCCGGCCTAATTTGTCCCAATTTCTAGCCTAAATTCTCCAATTTCCGGCCTAATTTGTCCCAATTTCTAGCCTAAATTCTCCAATTTCCGGAAATAATAAAAACAACAATTGATAATAATAGTAACAATAACAACAACAATAGTAATGACAGTATTTTATATTTTAGAACTGATTTTGTTGAGTTGGAAACAAGTCTGAAGGGTATGGAAGTTGAATGTAAAACATCTCTAGGCTATCTCAAACTAAACGCCAGGTGAACATGATTTCATTGTAATCAGTCACTTTATTTATTGAAAGGGAATGTTCAAGAAATTTGAGTTTTAAGACGAACCAGATATAACTTATAAAAGAAGCATTTACTAGCTCAACTTAGCGACCTCGTAACTCTTCTAGTTTTGGTTTTAATTTAGTTAAAGAGACAATATATTTAAGAAAAATGTACCTGTACCTGTACCTGTACCTGTACCTGTACCTGTACCTGTACCTGTACCTGTACCTGTACCTGTACCTTTTTAGGACGCTGCAGCTCGGATTATAAACATGCAGAAGATCCATAAACTTGTAATGCGGGAATATGAAAAACTTCTTATTTGGTTTGGAATTAACCCAGGTATTAAAACGCAGAACAAAATGTACAACATGAAATCAAGGACTACAAATAATTATGTTTTCAGGAATGAATGATCTCCCCCCTGCAAGATTAGCGGAGATACTTCTACAGTTTTCCAAAAACGTCAGGTGCGGTAAATATAAATATTTAACTATGAAGTACAATATAGGAATGAAGCTGTGGAAGGGGATGACGACATTTATGCAATGTTATGTGTACTGGATGTGGTTATTAAGCAAATAGTGATTTAAGTATGCTTTAAAATTAAATTATTAAGTGAAATGGGTCTGTGGACAACAACAGTGCTCCAGCGTTATATGGTCATTATGACTATTATTAACGATAACTTGAGTCTAACAGTCGTCTTCCTATTTTACAACTTCATGGTCCTCACACTAATTATTTCTGAAAAAAACCATTTATTCTTTTAATTTTTTTCTCATATTTTTTTATGTTTTTTATCTTTTAATCTTTTTTATCTTTTTTTATATTTTTCATATTTGTGCATCTTTTTTATCATCATTTTCTTAGGGACTCTATGCAGACTCTAGAGGATGAGGAAAGGAAAATGGCGGCCAAGATGGCTGCCGGAGTGAAGACGACAAAGAAAGGTTCCCGCATTACGGAGCGAAGCAGTACTTTTCCTTTACATGGTTCAAATACATCCGCTAATCCTAGCTACAACGGAGACCAATTGGGTAAGGCCTGATTCATTATAATCTAGATGTGATTTTAAACCCGATATATACAACGGAACTCTTTAAACCTTTTATTAAGAAACAATTAGGATTATATATGAATAATATATTTATGAATACTGTTAAAAACCCTATAATATTTATTTCAACAATAAATATCGCAACTTAATACAGTGATGACCAGAAACTTTAGAAAAGGAAGACGACATTACACCAATACTGAAGTGCATTTGGTGTTGTTACAAATCAAATAACTTCACTAGTAAGTTATTAAATCACTTATTAAGGGGGAAATGGGTCTGTTTCCACTGCACAATTGCTGTGCCTCAACTCAAGTTCGTTAGACTATTTAAAGTCAAAACTGGAGTCTTATAGTCGACTTTCTATTATTGCACTATCACTGTACTTAAACATTTTTATTATTTTAGAAGCTTTCTTGATAGATGCGGCAGCTAATGTAGGAAACAGGAAACCTGGGAAGCAAAGAAGGAAAAGGCATTCACTGAATAAAGAAATAGACTTTATATAAATATCGTCTTCGCAATTGAGGAAATCCTCCGAAGAAAACTAATCTCTTAACATGTAAAGATATGCTGTTATTTGTACAAATATAAATATGTCTAAACAAATCATTTAGAACTGTTTTGAATATCCTTAAATTATTATGTATATAGAGGAAGTATGATTTCTCGGTTGGCACTGCAGATGCGTTCCACTACAACCACGATTTCGATCGAAACATAAGAAACAATATCAATTTCGACCAAACAATTAGAATCACAATCAATTGCGATCATATTATCAGAAACAAGAAATATATTGCAATCAAACCATACAGAACAAAATCAATTTCGTTTAAACCGTTAGAAAAAAAAACAATTGCGATCATTTGATTAGATACAAAATCAATTGCGATCAAACATGATTAGAAGAAAAATAAATTTAATTGCAATACAAATTCAATTCAATTAAATAATGGAAATAATTTTTTGCAATGAATTATGTGAATGCAAATCAATTAAGTTAAATTTAAATTAAATTTTTTAATTCCATTGAATTCATTTTCTCCCTTTTCCTTTCTGTTAATAGTGCTTATATCCCCTCTCCTTATATCTACAGAATCTAGCAATGTCAGGGGAAACTTGTTTTCAAATCGACATGGGTCCAAAAGGACATGCAAAGTGAGGTTTGGACGTTAAAGGGATAAATTGAGCGTTTTTTTAAGTGACCCTCCATGCAAAGATGGCAATGCCTGATTTAAAATGAACGGTATCCAATCCATGTTTCACAAATCTATAAAAGCGCATTTAATTGTAAAACACTTTGTTTCCAAGCTGAATTAATATTCACTTTCTAGAATTAGCAGAAAATAATTATAGCTTTAACTATACATTATATATATATATATTATAATAAACTAGCGTGGGAACATAGCTTTAACTGTAAAGTATAATAAACTAGCTTGGAAACATAGCTTTAACTGGAAAATAAGTCTACCAACTCAACTTAAAATTCCCGTGCTTCTAACGAGCTTTCACAAAATTTGACACAAATCGGTCAAAATCTTACAATATAGGATGCTTCAGCTACATTCCCAGATGCTTCCTTTACTAACAGTAGCTGCTACTGAAGTCCCTGCTACATTAACTGTTCTTCCAATCTGAGATGCTCTTACTAGGTTCTCAGCTGCTTCCTTTATTACCGGAGCTCCTCCTAGAGTATCTGCTTTGTTAGCTGTGCATTACCGAAGTTGTCCTTAGAGTCTCTGCCGCTTTAGCCGTACTTACAGTTTGAGCTGCTTCCAGAGCTATTCAGAGTCTCATCTATGTTCTCCGTCCAAAGTTATCTATGAAAAGTAAGACTGATACCATTCAACAGCAATTTGGATGTTTAGTTTACCCTGAAAATAACCAAATAAGTGAATGGTCCCTTTAATTACTACAAGGGTTAGGTTAGAGACAATTTATGGGCCGAGCGCTGCGGCTGGGACAGGCTAGGGGGCCGAGCGAAAAAAAATGTTGCCCCCCTATATTGATTTTACCCCCCTGTAATCTTATAAAAAATTGCTAAAAATATCCATTCATCGTCACCCTTTAAGTACAGGGTAGGCAAATGTCTTAATAATCCATTTATTTATCTTATAACGATATAAAGAAAATACTACTAGGAAATTACCGGAAGACGACTTTAGACTCAAGTTATGACTTTGAATAGTCCAATTAATATGAAATACGTCAATTGTGGAGTTTGAACAGACAACATCAAATGTACTTCAATATTGATAATGTCGTTTTCCATTCCACAGTTTTCTTGTTATCACGTGTAGTATAAATTAATAACATGAAATATGCGCGAAATTAAAGTGCAATCAAAGTGGAAATTATGATAATAAAAAAGATATTAAATCATGCAGAAATTTTTTAAATTATAAAATCGAACAAAACAAAACTTTCAATTGAGAAAATTATTATTATTTATTTTTTATTAATTTAGGGTGTTGAAATATTAGTTTCTTCTACAACAAGCCAGATGTAAATCTTAGGGAGTTTCAAAATCCATCAACTGCTCCCATGGTTGTAGTAGGCTTATGCAAATATTTCCCCTTACCCTTGTTTTAGTATTTAATCCCTTTAATAACCTTTCTGTCCATCTCTCTCAGAGTATGAATCAATTGAGATTAATCAGTTTGATATTTTATTCATTAAATACATCTGTACGTTTATTCAGGTTTAATAAGTTCCTTCAGATATTCAGCTGCTACAGTTAGGATCTGTCCGAGAAGCTTCCTATTTTACTCTATAACGTTTAGCTGCTGGAGTTCAATGTCTATCTAGGCAGCTTCTCCAACTCGATATCTCGTTTAGCTGCTCCAGTTCAGTATCTATCTAGGGCAGCCTCTCCAACGCGATATCTCGTTAAGCTGCTCCAGTTCAGTATCTGTCTTTGCAGCTTCTCTAACTTGATATCTCATTTAGCTGCTCCAGTTCAGTATTCTTACACTTCAATCTGAGCTGCTACTCTAGCTGCTTCCAGAGTCCCTGCTACGTTAACTGTTTTTCCAATCTGAGATGCTCTTACCTTCATTACCGGAGCTCATCCTAGAGTCTCTGCTATGTTAGCTGTGCATTACCGAAGCTGTCCTTAATGTCTTTGCCACTTTAGCCGTACTTACAGTTTTAGCTGCTCATAGAGCTATTCAGAGTCTCTTATATGTTCTCCGTCCAAAGTTATCTATGAAAAGTAAGACTAATACCATCAGCGATTTGGCTGTTTAGTTTACCCTGAAATTACCCAAATAAGTGAATGGTCCCTTTAATTACTACAAGGGTTAGGTTAGAGACAATTTCTGGGCCGAGCGCTGCGGCTGGGACAGGCTAGGGGGCCGAGCGAAAAAAATGTTGCCCCCCATATATTAATTTTACCCCCTTGTAATCTTTAAAAAAATCCATTAGACTCAAATCTTAGTAGATGGCTATTTTCTGGTTATCACGTGTATTATAAATGAATAACATGAAATTTGCGCGAAATTAAAGTGCAAACAAAGGGGAAATTATGATAATAATAAAGATATTAAATCATGCAGAAATTTTTTAAATTATAAAATCGAACAAAACAAAACTTTCAATTGAGAAAGAAAGTAATTTAAATTCTAAAAGATCAAAAATCGAATTTCATTAAATGTAAAATGCAAGACTAATAAACCAGTTTTCTGTTATAAATGTTAATTGGAATCATACGAAACAACATATGATTATATGATGATTCTTACGCAACAGATTAACAAATTCACATATATAGCTAGATCACATACTTATATCCTACGGGGCGTCCTAAAAAACCTAACTTTAAAATAAAGCCTAATTTTGAACAAACGTTAGTTAATATCTGTTACGAATTTTCCTCCAAAAATTTCGGAAATTTGACATATATTTTTAGAAACACACTATTTATATACATATTATTAATCATATGATTTAATACTCAGTGCGCGGTTAGGCCTCAAGAATGATCATTTAGAATCTTGAAGAGACTGATCTTGTATTTAGAATCTTGAAGGGATTGATCTTGTATTTAGAATCTTGAAGGGACTGAATTGTAATGTTAAAATATACGAGGAAAATTAATGAAAAAGTAAAATAAACAATTTTTTATGTTTGTTTGGTGCAGTCAGAAAATATCAAAATTTTGTCATTTAGTTTTTTTTATTGTTAGTTAACATAGAGTTTAAACCCGCTTATTTTTTCCAAGTACAATTTTATTTTCTCTATTCACCTAACTGAAATATATTGTACGCATACATGTTTTCAATCAGAACTCGACCCTCTTAATGAAGAGGTATCGAGAATTTTGCTTTATATGACCAGATAAATTTGTACCTAATACAAATCAAATCTAGAGGAGTTAAGAGGTCACAAAGCCGTACTTGTAATGATATTGTCGCAAAGTTTATACCTTTCTTCTTATGTTTATTTCAGTGTGTATTAAGCACTTTAATTTGATCATGAATAAATTTATTAGCTACAACTAAAAAAGTTCATGAGAAAGCATGTTTTTATATGGAAAAATTTAGATATCTCACACGGTAAACTAAAGTGAATTGCACTCAAGAGTAAAATCTTCTATGTTNCCGCTTTTCTCTGATTGGCTGCTACAGTTTCTCAGATGATTAAATATTAATTTGAATTTTATCGTTTTTCATACACTTTTAAGATAATCTTGCAAGATTATGTTAATCTTGAGATTATCAAAAAGAGAGGATCAAGCATTAATCCCGATATCCACCATTCTAAAGTTTTCAGCTCAGAGAAGACCTAGTCATCTTCCTCTCCTTTTTATCCTCATTATTCATTATGAGTAATAAATGTACTTCTAAATTTCGACTTTTTTTGTGACATTTTATGATAAACAGAGATGACAATCTTTTCAATGGTTTGTTGTTATTCATGTATGCAGACTTTAATAACGACATAACATTCTCAAAATGTGACAGTTAACGTTTTTGTGGTGTTTTGGAAAGACCAGGAACCAGGCCGGTGTTCTAATACAATTTTAAAAGTTTTGATTGGAACACTTTAGAACTTATTTCTTCTGTATCAAAATGTCCCAAAATAAATTCCCAATCGAAGTTCCGATTCCCAAACAATTAACTATCCCAGTTACCGATCTATACGAAACTCTGGATAGAAATGAAAAATGCTCCTGTTCGCTTTTGATTGGTCAAAATCCAACTAATTTGGATATAATCTTATGAAATTTTAGAAATGAATATTAAAATGCTAGAATCAAGGAAGAAATTAAAATTTTAAAAATACAAATACAAATATTATAAGTTATAACTATTATTGACTTTGTCTATTCAGATAAATGCAGTGCGCAGGATTGTTATACTGTATATACTCAGTACACAACAGGTATATACAGTACACAGTACAGAGTACACAAAAGGTATAGAACAGTACACAGTACAGTACAGAGTACACAACATTTAAAGTACAGTACACAGTTCAGAGTTCACAACATTCATAGCAAGTACACAGTACATATAATATACAATAGATAGAGTACATTATACACAAAAGTACACAGTATCGTACCGTTTAAAAGCATTTCATTCAAATGCTGAAATTGTTGCTAAAAGAAGGGCGCAAAGCGCCTTGAAAGCTCAGTAATAATCATAATAATAATAATATTATTAGTAAAAGTAATGATGATTATAATAATGATAACCTCTTTGATTTAAAATATATGATTATTAAATAATAATAATGATATTAACAGTAATAATATTGAAAAAAGTAATGATATTAATAATAAATAATAATATATTTAATATGAATTATATATTCAGATACCTCCCTGGTGATAACTGATGCTATATACAGTCAATGCATAGTCTACAATGTCAGGTTTTGTATTTCAAAATTTCAAAAATTTTGTTTTAATTTTTGTTTCTATGAATATAAAGTAGTATATCTTGTTTTTATTATTTGGATGTCCGATCATAACTTAGGAACCCCTTGAACGATTTGCGTCAAATTTTTACTGCGGAACTCGGTAAAATCAAAGGACTTATACAAAATTCAAATTTGAGTAGGTTGACTTTACTAAGGAAAACTTAGTTTCCAAGCAAGGCTGGGTACACAAGCTGGCATAAGATTTTATAATTATTGATATTACCAATAGATTTCTCTTTAAAAATTAACCCAGCTTAGAATTTTCAACCAAGCTAAGAATATTTCCGGCTTTGGTTCACAAGAGTCCCAAATAAATCGGTGAAACACTTAAGGGGTTCATGAGTTATGATCTTACATACAAGCAAACAAAAGAAATTACTAATTTTTATGCATATAATACCTTTTTAATAAAAAATAAGTTTTAAAAGCCGAACCCCAATTAATTTAAAATTGTTGATTTAGATAAATTTTTTGCGTATATTTTTCCCCTAAATACAAGAAAATAAATTTTAGTTTTTACTTTTTAGATTAGAGGGCTTGAGTGCACATCAAAATACAATTTTAAGGTATAATTCCTAGATATACAAAATAACGCCTTAAAATATAACTAATAATTATTTTTAATTGTTTAGAGATGAAGTTATTTTGAAGAAAAGTTTTGGTGAATGTTATGTTTCTGCAGGAAAAAAAACAATATTTTAAATCAAAAATATGAATGGAAAAGGCGTATCCTAAAATCTTTAATCATCAGATTATAAATTATAAATTTATATAAGTTTATCATATTACAAAATTAGGTCTACTATATGTTGCAAAAACAGCTTAATGCATAAATATCATGTTGCACGATTTAGCACATATGCTAGAGTAAATGAGTTGCCGCATATTATTGTGCGCAAGCGCCAGTATATTGCCGCACAACTGCATAGTTGTAAATTGCGAAAACTTTCAAAGTAATCCCACGAATAGTTATTCGGCTTAAAAAAAATATTGCTCCATATTAGATGTTATTATCGGAGCTGGGTTCTGTGTTCTTGCCCTCATATTGATCAGTAAGTTTAAAATTTTTACTTTTATTAAAAACCCCCCTCCACCCACCTTTCAACAATTTTGTTTGTTTTTCATGGAAGTAATCTAATAGATTATATATATCGATTTTATTTTCTCAGCATAAGTTTGATTTTCCTTAAAAATATAATTTTCAAAAATGTACTTTGTATATTTATTTAACTTAAACTGCACTTTAACCTAACTTAATATTTTCACTGTTCGAAGAATTATATTCTTTAGAACTAGAGGGAAGAAGAGACGATTAAAAAACAAGGGGATTTAAAATGAGATACATCAAGTGTGCAATGTAAACAGACCCATTTCACTAAAGTATTGATTCAATAAGTGCCTAGTAAATCTAAAAGTTTTGAAACAACATTAAGTACTCTTATGTAATGCTATAATGTCGTCATCTTATTCCATTAATTTCTGGTTATCACTGTAAATAATCGCTTCAAATCAAAAGTTTTAACTTTGAATATTGAATTCAAGCATTGCACATTAGCGTGTTGTTATACAAATATTCAAACCTCTGAAAGGAGTACGTAAAGTTTAAACAATATCTAAAAGTAAACTTGACGGTGTCCCAATAAACATGGGAGTTATATTCCGCGGGACATAGTTACGTGAACATAACTTTATCCCAGATTAAATCTATCAAATTGTGGGTTATCATTTTCTTCAGAATAGACGGAGATATTAAGAAATCTGTCCAGACTTCAGATACGTATTTAGTATATAAAAACAAAATTGTTCAAATGTTTAATATCTCAGTCAATTTTGATGATACAAAGAAGGTAGACCACATTTTGGAAAGCTGATATAACGTACACATTTTCATTTTGATACACTCTTTGTCATTTAACAACAATCGGAAAGCGAAGAAGATTTTTAAGATGTCTCTTAATTCTCTTGTTTATTGGGACACCCTTTATTACAGGTGCTGGTATTGTAGCGTACTACTTTCATCGCAAGCATCCTATTCATAAACTTACAAGGTATAGATCTAAATATGAAAGAAGCAAATTTATTAAGTTACAAACTAAAAATTCAAAACTTTTTTGATCTTCTCAATAGCTCTTTATGATTTAAATCTTAGGGGCAGTTTACTTCAGCTTAGCGTGACAACTTGACAAAACTTTTATATACTTGCAAGTCTTTGTTAGAAAGCATCTGTTCAAAACCCCTTTTCTGAGCAAATATTATGGAGATATTCGTGCTTTTTTAAAATCTTAAATTCGGGCCCCCTTCTAATTTTTCTCGCAACAATTTTAGCTTTTTAAATTTTGCTTAAAGGGGCTGAAAAGGAAAATGAAAGGGTGTATAGGCTTAAAGCTAATCATGCTTTAGCTCAATCTGAAAACAAAGATATCCGAGAGAAACCTAGCTGATTATATCAATATTATCACTTATATCTATTAAAAATGAAGATAAAAATTATAAAATAATAATTGGAGAAAACCTAAGTTACAATTAGGTTTCTCTGGGATGTCTTCGTTTTCAGATTGGTTCCGTATTTGCTGAATCTGTTTAAAACTACTATTTCTATACAAAATTGTATATATATGAATTTTCGAATAAATTTGACACAGTTTTATATCAATTTCTCGAGACAGGAAAATCACATGTTATTTCATGGATCGTGATCAAGAGCTAAAGTGATTAACTTTCAGCCTATACCCCCTTTTTTTCCTTTACAGTCCCTTTCAATTGTTTTCTTCGCACATTATTAAACAAAAAAATTCGTAAATTTTTATAAATCTAATTTCGTTCTAAGTATTCCGATGATTAAACTTAATCTATAATACTATAATTTCCTTCTCTCAAGCGTTAAAACTTTTTCCAAGACATAAACAAGTTTACAGTTATTTATCAAATTTTAAATAGATATTTATTCTAACATATTTATAAATTGATCTAAGTTGAGACTTTGATATCAAATAATGGGATTGTATTCAAAATAAACCCCCTCCTCCCTTGATTTTTTGGTAAAAATTAGATTTTTTATCTACATAAATCCGTACTTAATGTATAAATATTTATAATATGCAGATTGCAGAAGCAAAAATATTTCGATTTTTTTTTAACAAAAATATTCCCTTTAAATTCATATCTGATCTACAACGTATGCCATATGCAGTGGTTTTATTCAATTTTATTTGTTTTCATAATAAATAATATTTATTTATCATTAGATTTTAATATTCTTAAACATGGCAATAAATCGTTGTAATATTTACATACTGAAAATTGATTTCCTATGCATTTTTTAGGATTAAATATATATCGATTCTATTTACTACAAACTGTAGGGTAAACAATATTAAATAAGGGGATATGTAAAAGATATTATAAAGTTAAAAGTGTTCAATTCAACTTTTGAAATAACTTTGCTTAAAATATCATACTGGTTTAACCTTCTATCCTGACCAAAGCTTAATTTGACAACAACTTTTTTCTAAGTAGAAAATTTTCCAATGGGGAGAAAAGAAACGTTAAGCCCCCTGTCTAGACCTGTATAGTGTATACGCCCCTGTTAATCATGCATCCCTTGAATGTCTATTGTCTAGGAGTTTGAGAGATTAGAACGATTAAGTTTTGACACAATCCAACGGAAGACGACATTTGCAGAGCTGGCGAACAACAAGAAACGAAACAGGTATTCTTTACCAAACTTACAGTTGGGAGGTTTTAAGCATAGCGTTGTTTTATCCTTCTGAGAAAACGCTTAGTAATTTTCACCATTTCCATCCTTTGTAAAAATCCTTCTTTTCAACAATCAAGCTTTTATTGTGCTTTGCGCTAGTTTTCCCATTAACAATTTTAGCTTTTAACGTTTGCTCTGAAATCTAATCATTCTTAAATGTTCTGGGGTTTTCTGTTTTAGTTGGCAAATTTTTAGAAAAATGTTGCGATTTGTTTAGGGAACATATTAATTTTGACGGTCATATGAGTTGTCATGAACAAATTTGGCCCCGATCGGTTCAGCCGTTTATACATTTTTTGAATAAACACATTAAACAAACAAACAGAGAATATTGATATATATTTAAATACGCCAGGGTATACTTTGATTTAATTCGTTTATCGTGACGTTTAGTTGCATCAAGGGTGCACGGGCAAATTGAGATTGTCTAAGCTTGAATACACCAAATTCTGTAATGAACATTGAACTCGGCTCGGTTTCGGGGGCTAAAAACTAGTTTAGTGGTCTTTTTACAGTCAATTTAATTAGGCTTATGCCAAAAAAATAGTTTGAAGTTTCGACAGGATATGTTTTACCAATAAATGTTTAAAAATAATCAATTAATTTACCTCGTTCAATTTTATTTTTATACTTGAAACAAAACAATAACTACAACTCTGGACTAAACAATAACTACAACTCTGGACTAAACAATAACTACAACTCTGGACTAAACAATAACTACAACTCTGGACTAAAANTTGGAATTGCTCTCAGGGTTTTGAAGTGCTCCCAGGATTTTGGAGTTGCTCCCAGGGTTTTTTAGTAAAATGTGAAAATTCATCCGGCCTTTTATGAAAAGTCCTTTAAAAGATAACTTTAAAACCGAAAATTGAAAAAATGGCTCTGCTACCCCTTTTTTAGTGTCTTTGTTAAGTTATTTTCGCAGTTTTGCACCCCGGGACTGGCATAAAATTGTAATCGTTGCCACGCCTCGAGTTTTCCAGGGATCAGGCTGAAACGTTCAGGGTAACCTTCCCATCCCCCAGCCTAGCTTGTATTAAATTTGGATGCAGATCCGAGAACTTTGAAAATCCGAATATTTGTGCACCTCGGGACTGGTGGTTTACACTTGAACCCGACTTACAGAGCCCGTTACTATATTCGTCGCGATAGCCTTGAGTTTTCAAGGGATTAGGCTGAGACTTTCAGGGCACCCTCTTCATTCCCTAGGCCAGCTTTTCTGTCTCACTGCACTGTATGAACTACATTTAAATGTACTATGTGTTTGATTTATTTATTATGTTTAAGGTACAATGATATAGTACCTTTCGATGCTACAAGAGTCAGAGTACTTCCACCATATAAGGTAAACTGATTATAATTATCATTATCAATATTATTATATTATAATTATGTTAATAATTATTATGAATACTTAAACCTTTATCATTGTCATTATAATTGTTGTTGTTTTTATTATTTTTATCATTATTGTTATTTTCATTATTAGTAGTATTTTCATTATCATAATCGTTATTATTATAAGAACTATTACCTATATAATAAAAAAAGACATTCATATATATATATGTTGCCTATAGCCGGTCAAACGGCTCTACCGATTGGGCTGAATTTTTTTATGGACTCTCATGGGTTGCCGGGGGGTGTGTTTTCAATATTTTTTAAATATTTTTTCAAAATAAAAAAAAGTCAACGGGCAACGCCGCCGGCTTCTATTCTTTATAATGAAACAAGATATATATACGTTCCCTATAACGGGCCAAACGGCTGGACCTAATGAGCTGACATTTTTTGTGGACACTCATGGTCATACTTATTATTATCATTATTATTATTATTATTATTATTATTATTATTTTTATTATTATTGTTTATCATTACTACACCGGCATTCTGGAGTATGATCTGGCAGTACGATATCAGGGTTGTTGTTATGCTAACAGCTGTACTCGAGTCATGTGGGATAAAGTGTAACACCTACTGGCCTGACATTTTAGGTATTCAAAATTATCTTTATATAAGGAAACAAACAGAGACGGTGTTTGTTATCCACTAGCGTTTCCCGTAGAATTTTACAGTGCCATTTTGTATTACCGTTTACAGTCTCACTTTCATTCCATAGTGTCGTTAGTCTCATTTATTAGTCCCCTTTTTCAAGTCCAATTTTACAGTCCCTTTTCAACGTTTAACTTTTAAAGCTTGGCCAAATTATTGTCTCTTTTTTAGACCCAGTTTTAAAATCCTCTTTTAAGCAAAATTTTCCCCCATTTATGATGAGATAAGTTTTTTATATAATTTATTTTTTTATATAATTTATTTTTTTACCACTTTTACTTTAGCATACTTTAAATTTCAGGAGATACGAGAAAATACAATGATATAAGCATTCAACTCCTAGATATAGCGGAGGTTTTTATTTTTTATTCAGAATTTTTTTGTTAAAGGAGCAATTTTCAACCTTTTTCAACAAGATGCATGTATTTTGGTTGTTATTGAACAATAGTTTGATCAAATACACTTTCATTCATATTTTTTTCAAAATTCAAACATTTTCAAGTCAAGTTTCAAACATAAAGGAATTGAGTCTTTGCATCAAAATCTGATTTTCTAACCCCTATATCTTCGCAACCTAATGTCATAGACCTTAAATATTTCATAGTATGATTTCTGTTAGATTAAATAATCTACCTTCAAATAATCTAAGTTTGAAATATCAAAACTTTACACCATCAGGTTGCAGAGATAAAGTGATTAGAAAACTATTTAGCAAAAAGGTTTTCTTTCAAATTCTATAATAAGTTTTCTCAGGCTCCGACATACGTTGTTCGAAAGTTTGATTTGGGAAACAGAAATTCATCAAACACGCGGCCGATAGTTCATATTCAATATACACAGTGGCCGGACAGGTAAAAAAGCAGTGGACAGGCAGGAGACAGGCAGGAGACAGACAGGAGACAGGCAGGAGACAGGCAGGAGACAGGCAGGAGACAGGCAGGAGACATGGCAGGAGACATGGCAGGAGACAGGCAGAACCTCAAAAACTAAGTAATCAAAATTGGAAAGTATATATACATATAAAGTATATTGTGAACATTTACAGTCATAGTAACTTGTTAGATGCTCGAAATAATTTGATAGATAGATAGACAAAAACCGTTTGACTAAATACTGGATCTATAAATGTAAACATAAAACATTCTAGTCAGATTTTATGAACCAAAAATATCGTAAGGTATCTCTGTATTCATGAGAAAAGACGAAAGAAAGAGTAAAGAAGGAAGAAAAAGGAAGGAAGGAAGAAAGACTAAAGAAGGTGGAAGAAAGTTGAAAAATGAAAGAAAGGATAAAGAAGGAAGATTAAATAAGGAAAGAAGAAAGAACACGGAAAGAAGGAAGGATGAATGAGAAAAGAAGGAAGAATGGAAGAGCAAAGAAAGAAGAAGAAAGAGGAATAAAAAATGAAAAAAAGGAGAAAAAGAAGGTGGAAAGGTGAAAAATAAAAAAGATAACATCGAAAAAATAAAGAAAGATAGATGAAAGAGGAAAAATGGAAAATTAAAGAGGTGAAAAGGGAGCGTGAGGAAGGAAGGGAGAAAAAGGAAAGATTAAAGAAAGATGAAAGACGTATGTTTGGGAGAAGAAAATAGATGGGAAAAATGCAGAAAAGGACAAGGACAAGGACAAGAGCAAGAAAAAGGATAAGGACAAGGACAAGAACACGGACAGGGACAAAGAAAAGGAAAAAGGCATGGACATGGAAAATTGCTAAGAACAAGGACATGCACAAGAACAATAACAATAAAGGATAGTTTCAAGAACAAGAACAAGTAAAAAAGGTGACAAGTACAAAGACAAATGCAATGATACTGAAAAGACAGGACAATGTCTAAAACGGAGGCAAGGACAAAGACAAATACAAAGACAAAGAAAAAAAAATGACAGTGTTAAAGACAGTTCAAATAAAAGAAAAAATAAAAAGTAAAAATAAAAAAGAACAAAAATAGGTACAATAACAAGGGCTTTAAACAAGGTTCATACAATACAAAGACAAGGACAAGGAGAGAGACAATTTATCAAGAAATTAAAATGTTTAGAATTGTGATAGCCCTGGGCCTATTCTAGTTCACTGCAGTGCTGGGGTTGGTAGAACAGGTAACTAAAGTATACAGTGATAATCAGAAAACACTGGAATCTTCTTTCTTACTTATTATTGTGTCTCTAGCTTGGGTATCCAGCTTTGCCTACCCATTGATATTTCTCTCAGTTAACTTACTCAACTTAGAATTTTTAAACCAAGCTGAGAATACCGTCAATCAACATTTGAAGCAAATCGGTCATAGGTTACATGATCGGACAAACTGAAAATATGTCCCTAACAATTTTGTAATTTATACTTTATCAATTTTTTAGAATTTTCTTTTCAGAAATGTAAAATTTGTAATATTTGCAATTTATAAAAAAATATTGATTACCTAAGCGATTTTTCATTAAATAAAGAAAAACAAAGCCTTCATTTTTGTACTTTTATAGTTTACACTAAAAATATGTTTCAAGATCAGTTACAAAAATGGGGCCGTCGTAGTTCCTCTAAAATCCCCCCCCCCNCAACCCTCATAATCGATAGATTTAAGGAACGTTCATTTGTGTGGATCAGTTTCATAATCATATTAATTTTAAAATTGTGTGATAGAGTATATAAAGTAGGTGTTAGTTCAACATGTTCTTAAATCAACATATTTCAGGAACGTATATCTGTGTGGAACAGTTAATGAGATGTCTGGATAATCCAAACACGAATTGTATAGATGTGTTCCATGCTGTATACCAGCTAAGAAAGGACAGGTACGCAGAAAAAGCATTAGTCGCTATACTTACTACCGAAGACGATTAAACTTCTGACAACAACTACTTCTCAACTTCTGAAGATGCTACGACTGTAGACGACTAGTATTAAAGAATTAAAGACATAAAATTTCCAAAACGACTACTTCTTAAAACAATTACTACTGAAAACAACTATGACTAAAGATGGCCATTACTAAAAACAACTACAACTAACGACGACTACAAATGAAGACAAATGTCAATGAAGATCTTGGACTACCATTGAAAAATGACTACAAACCTAGACAAATGCAAAGCTGGACTACTAATTTTAATTTTCATGATTACATGTAATTAAGTCCGACTACATAAAATTATTAAACTTGTCTTGTATTCTTACATTTATACACTGATCAATTTGAAAATGGAAAAAAATCCAACAAAAATGAATTTCAGGAGGTATATGGTTCAAACTAGGTCACAATATGAATACGTTTACAGGTATGTTGCTTTTAACATTTTAATTAAGATTTTTTAAGTTTCCTGACATATGGCACTAAGCAGGGGCGTAGTCAGGAACTTGTCAAAGGGGGGGGGGAGGGTTTTTTCATTACAGGGGGGGTTTCTTCCACTTAAATCTTGCTTCTTAAAGTCTTAATGCATGATCATTTACAATATTATACTAAACTTTGAGTTAGGCGGAAAACCAAATTTTAATTATTTCCAACTACTTTACAGGGGAATTAAGGGAATTTTGCTTTATCAAGGATTCCCAAGACTAATTTTGCCTACAAACCATCCAGAGCAAGGGATGGTCGAGGGAACCAGTGGTTAAGTAAAATTTTCAATTTACCTAAAAAGTAGCTGTAGACGATTTTATCGTCTTTTCAGATGAAAAGTGCTAATTTGTGTATAATTTGGTAAATTATATTTTTGCCGGGAATTTTACTTGATTTAGTTTGTTTTCGGTTAAAATTCAAACAAACTAATTGAGTAAAAATCCCGGTAAACATGTAATGTCCCGGCCGTGTTATTAACACAAGGCAGTTGCATAAATAGTTATTACCGCCTTTCGACCAACATTACCGCCTTTTTGATTCCCCTAATAGAGGGACGCGATAAGTTATTTAACGTCCCATTAGGGGATAATAAAGTAAAATACCACCCGCACTGCAAGGTTTTCGTAAAAAAAAAACTCGCGCATATTCATCTCAAAAGACGATAAAATATTGTACGACTACTTTTTCGTACAATACGAATTCACTTTACTAATTTTGCCTTGGTAATGTAAATTTCCCTTAACTTCCCTGAATTGAGTAGTTGTAAATAATTATATTGAAGTCCAACTGTCGTCTTTCTATTACCCAGTTTAACGGATCGCACTTTACATTTATTTACCTATTTATCTCTTCATGACAGGGAGGCAAAGGGATGCAATAAATATTACATTGACGAGGCTTCACAAGACCTTGTTGGGTTATAAAGCATTACGAGCATAGCACTAGCAAGGGATGCTTTGGGACCCAACAAAGTCTAGGGAAGCCAAGGTTATGTAATATTCCCTACCATATTTATTGCATCCTTGTTGCCTCACGTTAATGAAGAGATATGTAGCTTTTTAAACTTTTAAACTAATTTTATGGAGATTTTTCCACTTTCAAATAAAAAATAACATTTTTCCAACTTTTGAGCAAAATTATAACACTATTAAACTCTTATATTTACATTGAAACTCTGAAACCAGGGATGCAATTTTAGATTGCAACCCAATGGATACAATGTTAGATTGCAACCCTAGGGATACAATGTTAGATTGCAACCATAGGGATGCAATGTTAGATTGCAACCCTAGGGATGCAATGTTAGATTGCAACCCAATGGATGCGATGTTAGATTGCAACCCTAGGGATGCAATTTTAGATTGCAACCCTAGGGATGCAATGTTAGATTGCAACCCTAGGGATGCAATGTTAGATTGCAACCCTAAGGGATGCAATCTAACTGATTGTGAATTTTTTTGTCAAGAAATTGCGGACTTAAAAATCCGAAAACATTAATTTGATTTGATTTCTGAACTCAAAACTAAATAGAGTTAACAGTTTTTAAAACCTGGAAAAGGTTGAATTTTATGTAAATTAAAATATTTTTTACATAGGTGCATGTCGACCTACCTCAAGCAAAGAGAACAAATGGAGAAAATAAGAAGAGATTCTCTCGTCTAAAACTTTTATATCAAAATTTTATAATTTTTTTATTTTAAAAAAAACTGGCATGTCACAAATTTGCAATTTGCAATGCAATTTAAATATGGATCATTATGACATTTAAACAAAATTTTTGAGGCCATTTTTTTAAATTCTTAATTTTTTACCAAATTATAATGTTCGGCGTTTATATCAGTACAATAAAGATGATTTTTCTATTTAAATTTTGATTTCTAACAAGTGTTTTTTTTAAATTAAATGTTTGCAATCAAACAAAGAAAAGTTATTTATTGAAAGCTTGTCTTTGTTTCCATGTCTATGTGTGTGTATCCATGTTGTTTGAATGCTTGAACAAAAATCAATATTGTAATGGAAAAGTTTATTGTATTGATATAAACCACGACGAATGTATGATATCGTTAAACAAAGTTAAAGTTAAAAAACATATTTATTGAAAACATAATCATTTGAAAGTAAAAATTAGTTTCAAAACTATAATACAATGCAAGTAAATCCAATTGCAAATGTATGTTGAATTGATGAAATATTAGTCTATACCAAATATTCATTTTTCTTTTAACAGGTACACTAAGCTACAGGGTTACCCACAAAGGATGACACTTCAGAGACGACATTACAAAATTAGTATATTTATAAATCCTTGAAACTGAAAAAATTCTGTAAAAAATCATTAAAGAAGCTATTGAAAGACTAAACTCAACAATTTAAGCTTGAAATCGTCATATCTTTAGAGTTTTTTGTCGTCTTCACAATCTCGATCATCCTTTGTGGGTAACCTTGTATCTTTTTCGGGCCGTATCATTACAAAAACTATTTATCTTGCCAACTTGCCTTAATTTGATTCATATATCTGTAACCATATGTGTTTTTTATTAGAAACATTTGTTTTACAATTTGTTTTAAATCTAATTTCTATTTCCTCCTTTTGAGAATGAAAAATAAATGTACATTTCGAATATACGTAAACACCTGTACTGTACACTGTACTGTACCTGAGTGTACAGTCAGTTTTTGTCCTAAAAAGTGTGCAACCGAAAAACTCCGTGATTTTTAAACACAATGAATGTTTTGTCTTGAAATTTTTTCTTATTTTGTAAAAACTGAATTATAGTTTTTAGATTGTTGTTGACTTTAAATCTTTTCTTAAAGGGGCTGTAAGCGTAATTTCACGTGACTAGCAATTCAAATATGGCAATGGCTATTTTCAGTACTCTTAAAAGCTTTGTCTGATCAACGCGAATTTAGATGCCAACGTTAATAATTTTAAAAACGTATTATTTTCAATTATAAACTCACTAGTGACATGCACACTTCTGTATCAGGAAAATTTAAGGAATTGTGAAAATAACACATTTTGAAACAAAAAAAAGTATTTAACTTTTTTACCAGATAAAGGTTTTAAGGGTACATAAAATTACGCTTACTGTCCCTTTAACATTTCTTTTACTTGAAAAAAAAACTAAATTAAAGAAAGGAAAAATCACCATTTAATCTTTAAAATAATTATTTTTTTTCTACTAATATCTGTAACATGGGAACTTAAATTAAAGATAAAAATACATGTACATTCTGTCCAAATGTAAATCTATTGTATATATCTTTTTACCCCAGAAAAATACACAAGCTAAATCTGTTAAGGAAGTTGCTCTAAAAATAAAACAGGAACGTACAGGCAAACCCCAAATTTAATTTTCAATTGATTTTTTCTGCTCAAATTCTAGCGTGGGACATCTGAGCCCAAAATTTAAATGATTATCGTCAATCATATCTTACTCGCTCATAGTAGAGGTCCTCCCAAGTTCTTTTTCCGTGAAACAGAGCCGGGAGCAGGCATGAGAGAGGTCCAAGGATTGAGAGTAGTTTAAGCGCTGAGTGGAAAGCGCAATTCATCCCAGACAAGATAAAGGAATAAGGAAATGAATAGTGACAATTTCTCTGGAATACATCTATTCCTGATAACTGCGAAAACGAAAGCAAATTATAAAACCAAGACATGCCTAAACTGCAAAATAAAACACATATACACTGCATTTCAAGTGCAGAATGTAGGAACAGGGTGTCCACAACAAAATTCCTGAACCGAAAGCATATTGCATGGTTACAGGGAAGTCCAAAAAACATTTCTTTCAAAATTTAACCAAGAACATGATAGAAAATTGAAGCACAGGAAAAAAACATTGGAAAACAAGACTGTAGTGCAGAAAATGAAGTACAACAATTGAAATATGACATGGTGTGTAGGGATGTTAACGTTTTCTTTTTTTTTGAAAAACGATCGTTTCGTTATAAAAAAGGCGACGAAAAATCAAATACGAAACGATCGTTTTTAAAACGATCGTTTTTTTTAAAGTTCGTTTTTTAAAAACGATCGTTTTTTTTAAAAAAAGTTCGTTTTTTATAAATGGTCGTTTTTAAAACGATCGTTCCTAGTCCTTCGGATCTTAGTAAAATGTTAGTTAAGAAACAAATGAAATATTTTGATGTCCCATTGGAACATGAATGGAAAGTTCCGGTTTTACAAGAACTTTTAAATACAAGAATGAATGATTTATATGTTGAAGGATTCGATGATTACGGAATAACTGAAATGATAAATATATTATGTAATGAGTAATGATCCATGTTGTCTATTTGTATAATTTTGCATATTTTCTCTCTTGTGTTGGAAACCGGTATTTTCAAACATTTATTTAAACAAATTTAAACTACACCATTCATATACAGTGAACCCCTTAATAACGAATACATAGAAAGAATTCATCAAATGTCGTAGTCTTCACTTTCTGATAATGGAATGTTGCAGATATTTAGTTTTTTAATTAAATGATTATATGGAGCTCTTTAAAACTGTTCCCGCATATTCATGGCTATTTATTTATTTTCGCAAATACTGTGATTTCCGTAATATAGTATAAAACTCATTGAAAATTTGTCAAGACGACATTTGATAAATTTTTCCGATGTATTCGTTATTAAGGGTTTTATTGTATGTATTTATATCTTTGTGTGTGAATAAATCTTTATATATTATAAAATCTATTTATGAGGATGATTCTCTTCTTTGATTGAATAATAAACTGATCTATATGATAAACTGATCTATATGATAAACTGATCTATATGATAAACTGATCTATATGATAAACTGATCTATATGATAAAACAAGACATTCCACCTGGATTTAAAGGTTCGATCACATTTTGACCCATTAAACAAAATTTTTAGTTTTTTTTTCAAAATACTTTTTTGTCGGCATATACGAATGAAAAAGTATAGAACAATCAAATGCGTGAATTAAAAGATTGTTGAATTATAGACCAAAACACGTTTGATTTCAAATAGAAGAAACCGAATGCTAATGAGTCTGGTTGGTCAGGGGTGATTCGGATATATATATATATATATATGCTTCCTATAGCCGGCTAAACGGCTGGACCGATTGGGCTGATATTTTTAGTGGACACTATTGGGTGGCCGGGGGGTGTTAGAGGCTAAAAAATATTTTTAGCTGTCAATTTTCAAAAATTAGTAGGTCCTGAAAGGTTGAATTACACTTACATATTACAACTATAAGGGAAAAATCATAGAGGAAGGGGGGTCGGGTTAGTCCCCCCTCCCCTCAATATTAGGCAACTACAATACCAACGCAGGATAGGGTAAACTTGTGAAAGCGAGTAGATTATACATTTTTTTTTTAAAAAGTGACAAAATATTCCTACCACAGCTCCTTAGTTCAAAATATTTTTTATTCAAAATTTTTTTTTTCCACGGGCAACGCCTGGCCCTTTAGCTACAGGGTGTCCCATGAAACATGGTAGTTGTTGAATAGTTTAGAATGTCCAATTACCATAATTCGTTAAGTTGTTGGATACCAAAGATCTATAAAAATATTATCTGGAAGTCATGTTATATTAAATTGATTTCAAAGTAAAAGATAATTAAGCAAAGGATTTTTAAAACTAGAATTAACTATTTGCTATATGTCATGTTTCGTGGGACACCCTGTAGTTATATAATATATTGTATTATATAATGTAAGTGAGGAATGTGAGTCTCTGAGAGGGGCTAGGAACATTGTACGCAGTGTACTCACACACACCCCCAGTCTCAAAAAATATATAAAAAACTATAATATTTATATCGCAATGTTTTCAGTATTTTCCCAACGTACTGAATGGAAAATTTAGATATTTTCAAATATATAACATCAATTTTTTGTAATATTATTTATTTATTATTATTATTTATTATTTTTGGTTCCATGTCTATAATTGACAGCTTCGTCTTTCCCGTTCATTTACAGCTGTTTCCCACTCAATTACAGCTGTTTCCTGTTCATTTACAGATGTTTTCTCGATCATTTACATCTGTTTTCTGTTCATTTACAGCTGTTTTCCGTTCATTTACAGCTGTTTTCCCGATCATTTACAGCTCTTTTCTGTTCATTTAAAGCTGTGTTCCGTTCATTTACAATTGTTTCCTGTTCATTTACAGATGTTTTCCCGATCATTTACAGCTGTTTCCCATTCATGTACAACTGTTTTCCCGTTCATTTACAGCTATTTCATGTTTATTTACAACTGTTTCCCTGCAAAATGATTTTCTATTAAGTTAACCTTCTCAAGATCTTGGATAAATAAATAATATAAAATGTTGGTTAGTTATTAACAGACCTTTAATTGATGTACCACTTCCTTCTTTTTTTCGTACATGGATTTGTACTTTTTGTTAACGATGACACAAAATTAAAACAAAAAAACATACCCCGTTTTGTAACTTTTAAACGAAAAATGAAAACACTTTTTTTTTCTTTTTGATTAAATTATTTACAATTACAGTTTTAGTTTTCAACCTGAGGTTTAAAAACGGAAATGATTGTTTAAAAAATTTCAAAACCGATGCAAAACCGTTAAAAACGTTCTACACCGTTTACAGATCCTCTTTTTTGTGTACGCATTAGGGACAGTGATTGATGAAGGCAATGCCCCATACACATTTTCACTAGAGGGGGATTATTTATTTGGTGTACAGTCCCATTTTGCCTCATATATTCTGTATTTGTACTGTACTGTACTGTACTGTACATGAAATGAACTGAGTCCTAAATTTAAAAGAGTATCGTTGAACGAAACTCCCGAGTTACCTTTCTGGGGTCTTAGCATTTGTGTAGATTTTGATTTAAGAGATTAGAAAAAATGAGAATATGAGGAAACTAAATAAAATAATATTTTATAACAAAAATATTGATATCCACAAAACTGCCTAACCCCATTCGTGAAACCCGGGTTTCAAAACTGGTTAAAAATGAAAATGAGAATTTTGTAAAATCGATATTGATAAAAACTCCTACTTTGGGGGTGGATACGTTTTCAGAATTAGTTTTTTAAAATTATTAAATACCGACGACATAAAATATGAAAACATGTTGAGAAAATAAAAATTAATCTGATCATCGAAAATAAGTAATCTTGTTCAATTATTAGTTTCTTTTTTCTCATTATTCTGGTTCCTTATTATTCACAAAGATCTTCGCAGATTTTCTAGAATTATTATTGAAAAGACGACATTTGAAGAATTTGAAGAAAGCTGCGAAGAAATTCAAAGAAAAAAAGAAATTCAATATAATAATGAAAACGAAATAATTGATTTTAGCATTGATTTATTGACAAATTTCTTTTGAGAAATATGTTCATAACCATCTTATTAGATTACTGTATAATTTTTACTTTATTTTTCGTTGTCGTTATTTAATAATTAAAAAAAAACTAATTCCGAAAACGTATCCACCCCCAAAGTAGGAGTTTTGAACGTCGAATTTGCGCTCAAACTCAGGATTTACAGATCTTTAAAAAGTTTAATAAGTCTCAAATGAATCCGAAAGAAGTTTTCCACAACACTGCATAATCAGTTCAACTACCTTGCATAGCCGGTCACTCCCTTTAAAGTGGTTTACAGAGTTGCACAAAAATCATCTAATTTTTGGGGCAAGAGGTGTGTTTGAGTACATTACTTAGCGTACAATGTTCCTAACCTCGGATATATATATGGAGAAGGGAGGAGGCCTATATTCAGAACAAATCAATATATCTGAGCATCCTGACTTACAGCCCATTCACAACCTACACAACAAAGTAAACACGGTAGGAAAAATTTTATTGCGACTTAATCTTAAACACTTGGAATTAAACTGACATTTACAAAATATTTATAAAAAAGGATATTTTTTAGATAGGAGTACGACATTTCAAAGGGGGACTTTACAGAGATAGGATATTTGATAAATGTAACATTTCTTATGTATAATAATGAAATCTTAATTTCAACGATAGTGCACTTTAAAGGACTTTACATAGATAGGACTTTTAAGAAGAAAGAACTGTGCATACATTAGACTTTAAATTGGCAGGACTTTACATAGGCTTTTGCATAGATAGGACTTTACATAAATAGAACTTTACAAAGATAGGACTTTACACTGATAGGACTTTACGTAGATAAGACTTTTCATAGATAGAACTTTACAAAGATAGGACTTTACACAGATAGGTCTTTACGTAGATAAGACTTTACGTAGATAAGACTTTTCATAGATAGGTCTTTACATAGATAGGACTTTACATGAATAGGAATTTACATAGATAGGACTTTACATAGATTGGACTTTACATAGATAGGACTTTACATAGATAGGACTGTAGCGAATTCAGTATCATCTGTATAGTTCTATCATCCATTTTATCTATCATTTTAGTTTTGTACTCTGATCGGTCCGACCGGTCAACCTATTTACCTGTTCTCAATAAAGTAGTTCAATATCAATCTTTGTAAAGCACGGACGTGTTAGAGCCTGTGTAGACGGCTAGCAGTTAAAGTTTGGCTATTTAGCTGATGATATAGTCAGGATTGACTGAAGTGTTAGAGTTTGAGACAATTATTTGATTAGTTTATCGGGCTAGATCGTTACAGGACTTTACTTTGATAGTAATTTACATAGATAAGACTTTGCATAGATAGGACTTTATATAGATAGGACTTTTCACAAGAGAAGACTGTGCATAGATAGGACTTTGCTTCGACTTACACACAAGTTTTTTTTTGTTTTGTCATGTTCTTAAAATAATTCTAAGAAACATTTGTATCTATTCTGAGTCATAAATCAAAAAATTGAAATTTTAGAAAATTTAAATTTTCTGCTTTATACAAATACTAAGCGAATAAAAAAATTATAATTTGGGATTAGAGGTCTTTCTTCGAAAAGGTTTTAAATTTTTAAATGTGATTCTATTACACGATACGGTTCCTAATAGCACTATAACTAGTTTCCCCCCTCACCATGTGTATAATTTATATCAAAGATTTAAAAAGTTATTAAAGAAAAAATGAAATGTGTCAAAGTTATGAAACATCTTTTAAATATTCTATATTATAAAATACCCTGTATTTATTCTATATTATGAAACACCCTGTATTTATTCTACATTATATTTCTTTGTCGGAGTTGCCGTTTACTTTGAGCCCAAGATCTTTCTTAAAATCAAATATATTATTTACTATCTGTTTACGTTATGAATCCTTATCTGTCTCCATGCCCAACCTTCGATTCATGCTGCACTGACTTTCTCTTTAATTCTTTTTGTGTATGTTTTTTTTTAAATGTTATTTTTCAATTAATGAATTTGGTTAACAGGGGGGCTCAGCTAAAAAAGCCCCAGGCTATTGAGTCCACCTGCTGTGGAAAATAATATCTTACATATTGTGATTTTTAATAATTAAATTCGTAAATATTGTTTTTTTTGCAGAAATAAATGATTTGATTTGATTTGATTTGATTTTATACAATAAATATTATTGTTAACCCAAATTCGAAACAAAAGGAAGACGACATTCTGTGTTGTATATAAATGCAGCCATACTGTCTATAAACCCATGAATCCATTTCCTACATGCAGTATTCCACATGTCACCCTCGTTTTCCTGGCTTCCCCCCGACTCTCTACACCTCCCGGTATTTAGTCAGCCGAAAACACCCGAGATGATGACAACTCAGTCTCAGGGAGCAATCCTGGCTCCTTCATAGTGATGATGCAGGTACCTATAGCTACCAACAGACGATGCTTACATCCAGCTCAACATTGTTCCAAGAGTTCCAAAATTATCAGGCGTACATTGAGATGCATTCCCTCATATTCGAAACTGATAGAACCGAGATCTCTCACCCTGTTCCAAGGGTTCTAATTCTCCTCTACAAGAGGATACTCACCCTGTTCCAAGGGTTCTAACTCTCCTCCACAAGAGGATAATCTCAACTCTAATAAGTTTACTAAGCGAACTTGGAGAGAGCAGAAACCTGTTGTTCCAGTTCTAGTTGATCTGCACCACCAATATGAAGTTATACATTACCAACATGAAGTTGCTGCTGATGTTTGTCTTTTCCTTTATTAATTTCAATCAACCAATTTTAACTTCGCAATATGTGCAAATATTTCAAAACAAATTTTATTTTTCTTAAATAAACGTTATAGAATATTTGGGTTTTTTTTTCTGATTTCTTTATTTGTATATTTTCTGACCTTTTTAAAGGTCAACAATTATATATTTGTCTAGAAATGAGAGGGCTCATCCTTGTCAGTGTCTCAGCTCTTCTTGCTTCATGTTATGCAAAGAATGAATCCAGGTTGTAGCATCAATGTTAGTGATGGACAATTTAGTTTTTTTTTCATAAATCTTTTGAACTTTTGTTGACGATTCCAAAAAAATCTTAATGACTTTGAAAACCATAAAAAAAGTTACAATAAAATCTTAAAAATGTTAATTCCCATTAGAATCCATTAAAAAAAAATGGTGCTGATAAATAAATCAAGTTTTGGCTTTTTTTTCTACGATTTGTTTAATTAGACTTATCATATTAAAGGTTTACGAAATCATGCTGCAACGATATAAGGATCATATAATCAGAGTTTTAGGCGGGTAATTAGTTTATATGTTTTAAATTATTAGGATTGAATATATTGGGAGGTTAAAGAGAGATCTGTTTAAAGATTATGATTCTGCAGTTATTCCTCTGGCTGCTAGCCTAGACGGAAAGGTAATTTTTTTTTAATCTCTAGAAAAATTTATTCTCCAATTTGTAAAAAATAAACAAAAATGAAAAAAAGACCTACATCATTAAAGAAGCCCCAAGGTTTCCGTATAATTTTCTCACTTGTTTTATGGGAAATAATCATTTTATTTTATTTGTGTTCTGTTGTTATCCTTTGATTTTGTTTGTGCATTTTTGTTTTCTTTATGTGATCCAAGAATTGAGAATTAAATTTCTTAACAAAATTTAAGGTATTTTGAGTTTTTCAAGGAAAACTTTTTGCAGAAAAATTAAGTTGTACATAGGGCATCGTTTTTTTGAACGAACGAAAATCTTTCTGGAAAGAAATTAACGGAAGGGATTGTTTAGAGAGAAATGAAAAAAATTATCGTTTTACAAAAACGAACTAAAAAAAAATGTTTAAAATCGTTCGAACAATTTTGATCAATCATGCACGATATGGTTTGTTTTTTTGACTGAACGAACGAATTTTTCAATTTTTAAAAAAAACGTTCGATTTTTACTGATAGTTTTTTTAACACACATTTTAAAGCAATATTTTTTTTTACTAATCTAACGATTTGTTAGAAAATTTTTCTAAAAAACGATATTTTTTTTGGATCGAACGATTTTTCTGACCGGACAACTTTACAGATCTTTCAGTGAAAAATGAACGAAATAGATGGAAAATTGACGATAATTAAGAGGAAAAACGAAATCTATTATTTTGTGAACGATTGAAAAAAAAACGAACTTAATGGGCCGTTCATGAACGATTAACGAACAAAATGATAAAAAAGCCAAACCAGGGGGCGGGGCATAACTCTCTTAATTTTGCCTGGCTATACTCGATGAGCCAAACGCACTATTCTCTAGTTGCACACAAAAAAAGCTAAGCTTGTGGAATGTGCGCTAAACTGAAGGTATTCAGTGTTGCCTAGTTTGAGATAAATATTATTATATTCTAGACTGGGTTGGATGTTTCGGTTGGACTCAACCAGGTTTATATGGATATGAATGACAAAGGTATAAAATTTATTTAAATTATTCCCTTTTCACCAACTACGTAATTTTGATTAAATTATACCTAAAATCACATCTTCTACCCAAAAGCATACACCATTGGACGTTGTAAATACTGAAAAAAATATGTAAACAAATGTAATTTTTCTGTTTGGTCGATTTGATATGATTTAATGTCTACCAGGGAAACTTGTTACAGCTAATTGTCTACCAGGGCATCTTGATATAACTAAATATCTACCAGATCAACTTGATATAACTAAATATCTACCTGATCAACTTGATATAACTAAATATCTACCAGATCAACTTGATATAAGTAAATACCTACCAGATCAACTTGATATAACTAAATATCTACCAGATCAACTTGATATAAGTAAATACCTACCAGGCCAATTTTAAATAACTAAAAGTCTACTAGGTCAACTTGATATAACTAAATATCTACCAAGTCAACTTTATATAACAAAATGTCTACCAGGGCATCTTGATATGAGCGTGTGGCTGAGTTCCTCGTGGATAGATGAGCGTTTAGCCTGGGATCCTAAAGAATATCATGATATTGACTCCATCAGGAATATATTTATAAAGTTGTAAATTCTGTTTGTTGTTTGTTTGACCCAAATAGATTATCAAGTACAATAGGTGGGAACAGAGAAATGAACCAACTACACGCGACGTCACAAGTAGCAAATATACCAAGAATAACGAAGTTTTCTCACATTAGTTGACACGTTTTCCAAGATTAAATAAAAAGTGTTAAATCAGAAAATAAAGACATAAAATTAAGGTTATTTCACTGTTATAAGATAAACACTTTATTCTAAAATTATCACTATTATTATTAATTTTGTCGGACACAAAAACTGAATTTATTTTGATAATCAACGATTAAACAGTGAGACTCGTAACGTGGGAAAGACAAGCGACATTTTAACTTTACAGAGTGTAATTAATGTTGTTTTAATTGGAATAGTTAAACTTTAGTAGCTTGAACATCAACCGTTTAAGCGGAAAAGGTCGTCTTACAGTCGTCTTTATATTCCACAGTATATGGATCTCTCTACATAGTAATTTTTTTTTTACTAATAACTAGATTTCTTAGAATGAAATATGTTGATATTCTGATTTCTGAAACTTTAAATATACACCATCAGAGTTCCAGCTCATGATATCTGGATTCCTGATCTAGAGGTTTATAACAATCTAGAACATGGACCAGGTAATATACACCATCAGAGTTCCAGCTCATGATATCTGGATTCCTGATCTAGAGGTTTATAACAATCTAGAACATGGACCAGGTAATATACACCATCAGAGTTCCAGCTCATGATATCTGGATTCCTGATCTAGAGGTTTATAACAATCTAGAACATGGACCAGGTAATATACACCATCAGAGTTCCAGCTCATGATATCTGGANAAACTGACACTCAAGTCTAACTCGCCTTTTCTAGGATATATTAATGATGTTCTGAAGTCCAGAAGCACCAATACTCTTGTCATGTCTAATGGTATGGTCATCTATATTCCTGCTGCCAAGCTGAGTGTTCCATGTAATGATGAGGTAACTTCTTCAGAAATGTCGTCTTAGAATTGGCATAGAAGTTTTAAAATTTGCTTAGGTGTCGTCTTGTATCATACCAGGGTTAAAATCAGTTTTCCAGCAGAATTTTAAATCTGTGTGTGAAAATTGCTCGTTAAGATATTGGTTTGCACTTCAATTTTGCGTAAATTCTGATGAACAACTTTAACAACCAAATATGCTAATTCCGCAAAACATTTTACTCAATTTGCTTAATTGATTAATTGTGCTAAGATTTCCCCAGAAATTCTTCACAAATTATCATTGATGATGATCAGAACCATTTTGAAAACTTTAGAGAACATCGAAAGATGTTAGATTGTTGTGGATTTTTAGACTTTAAAGACGACCTTTTAACATCGCTTCTTCTGAGACTGTTATAGATGTAAGAAAATATGTTTATTTGGCAAAGTAATGAATGATTGAGATTACTGAGAATCTGGATGAATGTGTAGCTTACAAATACATAATTCTGTTATTACAGCATTTTTGTTAGGCAACTATGTCAGTGTAATAAGGTCGACTTTTTTATTTAAGTTTTAATTGTTAACAAGTAATTTAAGAGAAGCTTATTTTAATTAACAGCTTCTCTTTTCTTTAGATGTGTTTGTGTATCCATGTTGTTTAAAAGCTTGATATAAATTAAAAATGAAATCGAAAGTCGTCTTCATATGTTGATATAATCGCCAACCATCGTAGGAGTTTGCTAACTGGCCGTGGGGAGAATATGATTGCTCCATCAAGCTGGGATCTTGGGCTTACAGCGGATATATGATCAATCTACAAAAGGCAAGAATTGACGTTACCGTGTATGCAAACTTAATGATGTTAAAGGATATTTGATCGGTGATATTTATATCTCCATCCGATTTATTTTAGTATAGCGGTTAGAACTTTTGTACTGTAAATCTCGGGCCGATAAAACACTGATTTCCAACTTGTGTAGGCTTACGGTTTAGTTTAATATCTCTGAGATATCGGATTTGGTAATCGTGCACAGCAGGGATCGCTAAATTATAGATTTCAGTCATTTATCTATCAAAAGTTGTCAATCTTAATATCGAGATCAAGAATTGTAAATAAGTGCCATTTCACACAGAAGTTTTGACTTCAGTCTGCAACTATCATTATATCATAATCGATTTTTAAAGCGTTCGAATCCTCTTCTCAAATATTATAGGACCCCAGCCATAGCCTAGAAACCAAGTTTGGCGCTGTAAAATTTAACCTACTTTGCTTAGAACTTAGTAGCCATACTGAGAACATTACAATTTAAGGCAAATCAGTCGAGGTGTTCATCAGTTATGATCGGACATACAACCATACAGACGACATAAAAGAGATAACATCTGTATATATAGATACGAGCAACAAAAACAACATTGCAATGTTTATGTTCTTATTGCAGTACGAGAATAAGAACTACATCACCACTGAGTCTGTGGATGAGGCCACGAGTAGTTCCCCAGTTTTCTTCACAGAGAACTCGTTCCAGGAGGACTCCTTGATCAACAAGTTTTATCCTTGCTGTCCTGAACCATATCCAGCTCTTCATTACAAGTCAGTATTATCTCTTCCCCCCCCCCTCTTCTTCCTCTCCATTCATATTTCATATTTAAAATATTTCAGGTTCAAAGTTCAGCGTGGATTCCGAATTGGAGCCAATGGCAAGGAACTTAACCCCTCACCAGTTCCAGCCTATAAACCAGAAGAAAACTAATTATATTTGAAATTTAAAATTTTTCCCTTTTTGATTAAATTTTTTCTCTCTTTACATTAATTCTATTTAATATTTTTTGATCCACTATGCAGTATGCAACATTTTCAAAACATTTCTGTAGATTTTAGAATTTTACGATTAAATTAAAAATAAAGGTATCTTCAAAAGATTTGTTTCAGTGGATCGGAGTTCGTGAACAAAGGAGAGATGGAAAGTTAAAAAAAAATTAACTTGATAATAACAATGGGTTTTTAAAAAAAGTAAAAAAGAAGGTTTAGAACAGGAAGGCGGCATTACAGATATCCTTAGTATACTTGAGATTGTAATTATTACGCAGATTTGCGCAAGTAACATTAAAATTAACTTTTCAAGGAAAATGGGTCCGTACTCCGTATACACTGCACAACTTCTGTCTTTCATGTTTATCATGGACTATTTAAAATCATAACTTGAGTCTAAAAGTCGTCTTCTCATTTAAACGTTTCATTGGTATCAATTACTTGTAAAAACAAAACGAGGCGGCGGAGATCCTGTAGGTATAAAATGCCCCAGTTTTATAAAATAAAAGTATATTGTGTCAAGTTCTAAGGAAGTGAGATTCATGAAAAAAAATAAAAAGTGAGATTTGAAAATCCAAAATGAGAATATGAAATTTCAACTTTTATTTTCAAACTCTGGTATTTGCGGTAGTGAGATTTAGAAATCAAAATTCTCACTACCACCAATACCACAGTTTAAAAATAAAAGTTTAAATTTTAAATTCTCGTTTTGGATTTTCAAATCTCACTACCGCCAATACCACAGTTTGAAAATAAAAGTTTAAATTTTATATTCTCATTTTGGATTTTCAAATCTCACAACCGCCAATACCACAGTTTGAAAATAAAAGTTTAAATTTTATATTCGCATTTTGGAATTTAAAATCTCACTACCGCCAAAACTTTGTTTAAGAGTATTTACATTTTCTAATTTCGAAAAAAAGGCATTTAATAATCTGAAAAGTCTCAAAAAAATGTACAAAAACTAGCTCTCAAAGCCTTCAATACCATTTTATTTTAATTTGTACATAAAATTTTCGCTCAAAAAGAAGGCATTTTATACAAACACGCGGAGATCAGGTTCTCAGGTTCCTATTAACTCGGACGCAAAATTGCAGATTAACATATAAACAGATTTATTACAAACCTACAAAATACAGTTTTAGTAAAATTAATGATTTGCAATGTTTGATTTGGTAACTTACTAACTGTGTGTGTCTGAATAATTAAGGAGTGATTTGGTATTAGAGGATCCGGATGTGATCAGTTCACTCAAAACATTTGAATGTTACTTCTGAAAAAATTAACCCGGTTGTTTAAATAGAGTTGTTATGGATTGCATAATTACTCACGGATTTAGGATTTGAGTATTCAATGGTTATAATTTTACTATATTCAATGTTTTCCTTTGTCGGAGATGGAGGTTTCTCTGGTTTTAGATAGGGTAGGAAAGACGACCTAACGTTGTATGAGTAGGAGTTTGATTTACCTTTTTGAGTCTGAAATTTTCTCTTTTCCTGGCCGCCCCTATAACTGAAAATTCAGCTTCAAGGTCTGATTAAACTCAAAAAAGTTGTTCATCCGACTTACAAAAGTTATGCATCCGAGCTTCGAAAGTTATGCATCCGAGCTTCAAAAGTTGTGCATCCGAGCTTCAAAAGTTGTGCATCCGAGCTTCAAAAGTTGTGCATCCAAGCTTCAAAAGTTATGCATCCGAGCTTCGAAAGTTATGCATCCGAGCTTCAAAAGTTGTGCATCCGAGCTTCAAAAGTTGTGCATCAGACCTACAAAACTTGCACATCTGACCTACAAAAGTTGTGCATCCGACCTACAAAAGTTGTGCATCCAACCTACAAAATATGTGCATCTGACCTACGTGTGCAACCGTAACTTCGATCCTTATGGTAGCACTGTCAACTACATTCTGGTTATATCTGCAGTTCCTGCGTAGGTTGGATATTAACAAAATAGAATGTACATTCGCATACAGCTGTCATAGGTCCGAAGTATCGTAGAACGTAAGTACCACAGAGAATAGAATATATAGAGAGGAATTAAAAGAATCTCTCGTTATGAATTTTTTCAGTCCCTTTCAGCCTGAAAGGGAGTTCAAAGTGTACAAATCATGTAAATGTTCACAAATTATATGCAGTAGAGTACATTAATACAGTATGTTCCCTAGACTATCCATTTCAACTTCGAATTTTTTAAACTGTTAAATAAACTTTATAATGAATAAGGTGAATAAAAACATCATTTGATTTATAGTTATAACGGAAAATCATCGTTTGTAAAGTGGAAGGCATAGAGTCTATGTGAAATGATCATTGGTCAATTATGAAACCAGCCTATTTCAAAATTTGGTTTTCTTTTAACAATAATTTTAGATTTTCTATAAAATGATATTCCAGGGCACCACAGGTTATATAGCATAAATATGTGAAGTACACCTGCAGTATGGAAACAGTACAACAAAATGGCCGTTTTACACTTTTTTCTAGTAAATTCCTCACTATATATTCTATTCTCTATGGTAAGTACTGTAGGACAGAAATGAACTGAATAAAGATATTGAGGTTGAAGGGAGACCAGTTGATGACTGGGCCTAAAAAGAAATTGAGTCTTTACCACAAACTCTGATTTTCTAATCCCTATATCTTTACAGCCTAATGTAGGAGACCTAAGATATTTCAAACTATTTATTCTGTCAGATAAAATAATCTAAGTTTAAAGCATCTAAGGTGTACACCATCAGGTTGCAAAGATACAGGGATTAGAAAATATAAATTTGTGGCAAAGACTCAATATCTTTGGCTGACCTTAACCCCGTAGTACTCCTTCTAACGATCTTGAAACACGAAATTTACAAGAATGAAAGACAATTTGGGTTCAAGAAAATCTTTTATAAGGTCACTCCTGCAAGAGGCTCCAAAGGTTACCCCAACCTCTAAAAACCTCTATGGATTAAGCTTGTGCAGAAGATAGTGACATGTCAAAAAAGTATTTTTGCAATTATTACGATTATTAAAATATAACAGGGGTTTTGAACCCCTTTATACATTTTTTCAAACTCGAAACTTCATACAAACTTCATAATAATACATTATACAATTGCTATTTTCAACCGACATAGTTTTGTGTTAATATTTACAAACGAGGAACCGAAGTAGATACAGGCCAGATGCAGAGTTCAGTGGTATACACTAATTTTACATGAAATATTTAAAATTTGATCATTCCTAGATCATGTCCGGCAAAAAAAATATTATTAAGTGAGAAAAGTGTAATTTTACACACTTTTTATTGTCTTACTTTCATTTTGGAAATCTCTAAAAACCCCTTTTTTCAATTTCAAAGTAAAATTAAGCATTTACATAATTCTGTGGAACGCACTGTATACTGTAATTAAGCGGCAAACCGTTTTTTTTACAATTTTCTAATTACTCAAAGATCAAATGAAAAAACGCATTAATCCCATTCAACTCCAAATTCAATTTGGGATTGGCTAAGAATTTCTAGTTGTCACTTTTTATTTTATAAATTTTAATTAATTTTTTTTCCATGACTCCTCATTTTATTCATTTTTTAAAGAACATTTCAAACACTTGAATATTTGGTATAATTTTGACGTAGTTATTTCTCAATTTCTCGAGACAGGAACACCAGATAGAACTCTTACATGTCCCAATTAGCTTCTGAGATTCTCAGGTTACCCTTTCATTTATCCTTTACAGTCTCTTTAATATACCCCATTTCATTGTTCCTTTGCAGTCTCTTTAATATACCACCTTTCATTGTTCCTTTACAGTCTCTTTAATAAAAATGAACTATTGGAAATTTAAATGTATAAAAAGATGACATTTTACTTTATGAATATTTTATCTCTGTTCTATTGATCTTTAATATCATTTTCAATAAATGAAAAATTTATTTAAAAAAATCATTGTCCCCTTGATTTTGAAAAAGAGTATGACCAGCTTTTTTTAACAATTTCTTACAGATTAAACAATTGAAAAATTAAACGTCAACAAACTAAGTGATAAACATACAATGTACATGTGACAAGAGAGTTAATTGTTCATGAAACTTACCATAACAGTGCATTGGATATTACAATGTACATAACATGAAGAATGAATAGTGTACATAATTAGAGAGTGCCATGTAAATTAATTTCTAGGCAGAAGTACAATGTACATTGTATATGGAACTAACAAGAACAGTGTACATAAATCTATAAAGTACAAGAACATGAAACTCATCTATAAGTACACATGAATTTGTACAACTAATAAGAAGGCGCAGGAAAAGTTCAACGAAATAAGCAATTACAATCAACTGTACATAAAATACGGATAGTTTAGAATCACATGATATCGTATATGGAGGAAGGAAGGGGCTTTAATGTAATAACAAGTTTAATTTCTTTATGAAAATTAGGTTCATCAACTGCAGATTGGCCAAGCCAATGATTGTAGGAATGAGGAATTCAAAATACAAGCAAGTGCAGTTTTTGGCAGATAATCTTAGGAGGGAGAATACAATTAGAAAAGGGATTAAATACAGTTTGGAGAGTAATGTTAAAGAACGGATACATCAAATAGAGGTCAAATAGAATAGATTGATCTTAGGAAGGGGAGAGTTTGATCTTGGAAGGGTTGAGTTTGATCTTAGGAAGGGGTGAGTTTGATCTGTAGAAGAGATGAGTTTGATCTTAGGAGGGGTTGAGTTTGATCTTAGGAAGGGTTGAGATTGATCTGTGGAAGGGTTGGTTTTGATCTTAGGAAGTGTTGAGTTTGATCTTAGGAAGGGTTGAGTTTGATCTTAGGAAGGGTTGAGCTTATCTGTGGAAGGGTTGAGTTTGATCTTAGGAAGGGTTGAGTTTGATCTGTGGAAGGGTTGAGTTTGATCTGTTGAAGGGAAAAATAAAAACAGTTTAGAAGGTGATTATATCTTGGAAGAGCTTTCTGTTCTACTAAGATTAAGTTTGATTGTAATATCTTGGTATATAAATAATTAAAGTTTTCGAACTTAGATTTGAACAAATTACGCGTTGATGGATTTTTCAAGAGACATATTTCTAAAAAAAAACATTATAATGTATTATCTTTAATTTTAAGCAAAAACCAAATGATTTGAGGTTATACATACGACTATTTTAGAAATGTCTGCCCTTTTGCTGAACAAAGCTATAACAAGTTAAAAACCATAATAATGTGGACTGAACAGTGAACAATTTAATTAATCATAGGAATCTGTAATACAAATGGTTTCGTACATATATGTACACAATTAAATTTACAAGACTCCCAATGCTGGGAAAATGGTCACAGTGTATACGTAACAAATAACATCAATACCTTGAGAAACAATTAACACACACATCACATTAACAGGTGTGAAAACTATACCAAAGTGTTAACATATATATGTAATGTGATCCAAACTATGACAACTTGTAGGAACATCTAAAGTGATCACATGATCATGTCTGCCAGTCTGGGAACAGTTCGGACCACAACATAATGTAAACAATTATGGGAGCAAACACCAATACCAAGTCCTTGGAGGAAAACAACGCTTTGCAATGTTGTTTTCGAATAGAAATTATATATATAATCGGAAAGTCGGCCCATAACTTGGCGTACTTTTGGAGTATTTTGGCACTGGAACTGGTAAATTATTTTTGAAAAATTCTCATTTCATTCACTCAATTCAGTGGACTAAAAAATATATAGGAAGAAACAATGTATTGGCAAGTAATATCTTGAGTTTAAATGCGCTTTGAGTGTGAACCATCTCTGTATATATACTGTGTAGTTTAATTGCCAAAAATAGGTCGGCCATTTTATATTTTTGGCGGGAAGTTTTTTCATGCGTAGCACAGCAGAAAAGCTAAGGAGACATTAAATAGGGTGGATTTTAATAAACTGATCTCTAGTGATCTCTAAAACATAAATTGTGGGTTCGGACGAACATTAAATAGACATATCTTTACTTTCATTCAGAGATCTTTCATAAACTATTTAGACAGTTAAAAGTAATAATAAGAGTTATGAAAAATATTAAATATACTCTGAAAACATATGTAAATAAAATGAAAAATATAAAAAATAGAACTTAAAACTTAATTAATTAATAAAAGTATTTTCCAAAATATACAAAATAGATAGAAGACCAGTTTTGCAATAGCAATGATTCAATGTATGTGTGCTGTGTATAGTGTACACTGTACAGTTTGTTTACATTCCTACCAGCAGAGCCAGAACTTTGAACAAACTCCCAAATTTCCTTTCAGGGGTTATAACAATTTTAAAGATTTTATTTGAATACATAGAAGCTGCAATTACTCTTTCCTTCATAGCTTTTGATGTTAAGCAACACCTTAAGAACATTATGGATTGAGTTTATGTAAAATTAGCTGGTTATGAGTTTTTCACGATTAAACTTGTTGTGCAAACTTTTGGCAGACATAGCTCATTTGATCTTTCTCGCTGTCCTCAATTTTATATTCAAGTTAAAGAAAAAATCTAAAATTTAAGAATGTATCTGAAATCACAAAAAAAACACAAAATTAACAAAATCAATGAAAAGTTAAAATGTCTGCCTGCTCACAAAATGATTGTGACATGAATAAAATGTAACTTTCATGAACATTTGATTATTTTTTACTTTTGAAAAACGAACACCTGTATTGTAAAAAGAATTGATTAAGAAATTAGCTTATACAGTTGACAATACAGTCAGCTGACTAGGATTTAAACAGCTGTTGCGTGGCTGGGTGAGTCGCACAAATCCGCCAAATTAAGAGGAGGAGATTGGTGGGGAGGAGCACTGGAGGGTACAGGTGGAGTTGAACTGCTCCTTACAGGAGTGATTGGAAGATTAGTCGGAGGAGCTGTATTACGACGCTTCACCTTGTGCTTTTGCTTCTTCAGCATTGTAGCCTGGAAAAAACAACTTTATGTATGTAGGGTTAATAAATTTATATGAAATTGCATGTGTCATTGCAATTAAAATTCAGTTCTCTAGATGTATTTGTTCACAAACATGAAAACAGGTCTAGAGAAAAGTTAATTCACACATAAAGCTAAAGTAACATGCAAAAAAATATGCGAGGTGTGCAACTTCTCATGCAATTTTTCTTATCCTAATAAACTATACTTGCTTTAATTTCTTCCTTACAAAATATAATCTATACAGAATATTTTAAGATGTAAGACTTTCTTTTCAGGTAAACTTGGAAGAACCACTGTTGATACAAAATAAACATTTTGCCCCATCTAGAGTATAATGGATACACATTAGCTTCCCCATCTAGAGTATAATGGATACACATTAGCTTCCCCCTCTAGAGTATAATGGATACACATTAGCTTCCCCCTCTAGAGTATAATGGATACACATTAGCTTCCCCCTCTAGAGTATAATGGATACACATTAGCTCCCCCCTCTAGAGTATATGGATACACCTTACCTCCTACCCCTTCTAGAGTATATGGATACACCTTACCTCCTACTCCCTCTAGATTTTATGGATACACCTTACCTCCTACCCCCTCTAGATTTTATGGATACATCTTACCTCCTACCCCCTCTAGAGTATATGGATACACCTTACCTCCTACCACCTCTAGATTTTATGGATACACCTTACCTCCTGCCCCCTCTAGAGTATAATGGATACACATTAGCTCCCCCCTCTAGAGTATAATGGATACACATTAGCTCCCCCCTCTAGAGTATATGGATACACCTTACCTCCTACCTCCTCTGGAGTATATGGATACACATTACCTCCTACCCCTCTAGAGTATATGGATACACCTTACCTCTTACCCCCTCTAGAGTATATGGATACACCTTATCTCCTACCCCTTCTAGATTTTATGGATACACCTTACTTCCTACCCCCTCTAGAGTATATGGATACACCTTACCTCCTGCAGCCTTCCCCCTCTAAAATATATGGATACACCTTACCTCCTGCCCCCTCTAGATGTCGTCTTTTCATCTTGATTTTCTTCAGCATTGATGCCTGGAATACAGGGTTCTCTAGTTCTACTTTACCTTGGTCTAATTTTGTCACAATACCCATTTAAAAACCCGTGGTTTTAGATAGGGGACAGAGAACACCATTAGCTTTAGAAGTGATTGGAACTAGTTTTACTTTAATCCAGTTTTTAGTTATTATCGATCGCTCAATCGGGTAGCAGAACAAATGTGCACATTTTTTACAGCTTGCAAGTGCAATTGTGCTATTTTTGCGGTTGTGATTGTGGAAAAAGTTGCGCCTAGACACGTGGTGACGTGATACTTTGGGCTGTGTAAGTTGGATGCCTGCAGAGTTTAAGTGAAAAATAAAAAATAATAATGCAATACTAATATAGAGGCGTGTAGCCGTATCTGAGACCCTTCTCTTGCAGAAAGAATACAAAGCTTAAGAATTTATAGGAATAGGTTAGAAAAGATATATAGTGTAGATATATCCATATATATTAAGTTGTAATCTCTGTTTGGATGTTTGTATGTCCGATCATAACTCATGAAACTCATTGACTAATTCGCCTCAAATTTTGATTGGGGAACTCGTGAATGTTCTCAGCTTGGATTTAAAATTCTAAGTTGAGTGGGTTATCTTTAATAAGAAAAAAAATCCGGACAACGGTGGGTTCCCAAGTTAGTATATAAATAAATCATTATTCGGTGATTACCACAAAAAGTGAAATATGACCAAATTGGATCCATTTAAAATTTAACAAATTTAACACCATAAACTTATATGTTCTTTGTCCCTTACCTAAAACCAGAAATTTTCCCGTAAATAGGGCCAGAAGTTAACACATATTTAAAACAACTTTCCAAAGATGAAAATACAGATAATATTATTTTTAAGCCACAATTGAAGTGATTTATTAAGATTCTAAATAAACATTAAGATAATATAAAGTCTTAGACAAAGCAAAAATATTATTCACACACATATATATAATAGTATAATTCTTTTTTAATAAAAAATGTGAAGTTAACAACTGAAATATATGTATATATATATGTATATGTATATATTTATATATATACATACTAGCTGAAGGGCCCGGCGATGCCCGTGGGGAAAAAATAAAAATCTAGAAACAAAAAATTGAAAAAAAAATTATTTTAGCCCATAATACCCCCCAGCCACCCATATGTGACCACACAAAAATTTCAGCCCATTCGGTCCAGCCGTTTGGCCGGCCATAGGCACAAATATATATGAATGTCTTGCTTTATTATAAAGATAGAAGGGCGAGAGAAACAGCACAAAGGGAGAATAAAGGGTGAAAAGCATAAAAATAAGATTTTACAATGAGAAGTCAGTGTTTCATTAATTTAAAGGCATGCATGTATAATCAAAGTAAAAAATGTACAGCCTAAAAGGAAGATATGTATTACTGGGCCCAAAATGATCAAGATGTTTTCAGCAATTCGTTCAAACCAAATTTTTAAAAATATTACAGTTGTGAGAGATTATATCAAAAAAATTTAGACGACTATTTATTTCAGTTTTCATTGTTAACCAGCTTTTTTCAATTACAAGTTTACTTGTAATTGAAGAGATTCTTTTTTAATTTAAATCTTCTCTTGACTTGATATATGTTTCAAGAAAGGCATGAACGAGTAACAACAGTTCCCTTTATAGGGAGTGACCGGCTATGTAAGGTAGTTGAACTGAGTATGTAGTGTTGTGGAAAACTTCTTTCGGAAACGTTTTCAGAATTAGTTTCTTTTTAATTATTAAATAACGTCAACGAAAAATAAAGTAAAAATTATATCTAATTAGATGGTTAGGAACATATTTCTCAAAAGAAATTTGTCAATGAATCAATGCTAGAATCCATTATTTCGTTTTCATCATTCTATTGAATTTCTTATTTTCTTTGAATGTATTCGCAGATTTCTTAACATTCTTAAAATGTTGTCTTTTCAATAATGTTCCAGAAAATCTGCAGAAAATCTTTGTGAATAATGAGAAACCAGAATGATGAGAAAATAGATACTAATAATTGAACAAGATTACTTATTTTCGATGATAAGATTAATTTTTAATTTCTCAACCTGTTCCTAAAAAAATAATTAGTTTACTGCAGAATTTTTTTTACATTTTATGTCGTCGTTATTTAATAATTAAATAAAAAACTAATTCTGAAAACGTATCCACCCCAAAGTAGGAGTTTTGAACGTCGAATTTGCGCTCAAACTCAGGATTTACAGATCTTTAAAAAGTTTAATATGTCTTAAATGAATCCGAAAGAAGTTTTCCACAACACTGCATACTCAGTTCAACTACCTTACATAGCCGGTCTGTCCCTTTAAACCTTTTTCTGATTAATGTGGAAGACATCGTCGTTTTATAGTTTTCAAAGTGTTTAATTCTGACAATTTCTTCTTTATTGTCTCTGAAGCTAGTCTCATAAGAGAGAAGCCACAAATGAAAATAATCAAGTTTTAAATAGAAAATGATTAATATATGATACATTCTTGATCAGATCGAGGTTATTTAAGTACTGTTGCGAATAAGAAATCCCATTCTATATAAATTGAGAGTCAATTCAAATAATGTGGACAGTTACTTAATTTATGACACCTTACTAAACATCAATGCTTGATCCTGACTTTTGCATGTAACATTGTAACAATGCTTCAACAGTTCAGGCGTGTGATTTCAAATATGATTCCAATCCCTGTATACGCCCAGAATACTGTCGAGAATAGAAGAACATGCCTCACAAGAAACTAACATAAACATTGATCTGTGCACACTGAGTGCTAATTAAAAACCTTAATAAGGGATGATCTAAAAAGTATTTCAAAACCTTTAATTACTTAGTAATTGTACAATTTCGTAAGAAAAATATCTTGAGTAAAAATAAAGTAACGGGTTCAAGTACTTTTTAGAAAAGTTTCCCTTTAAAGGGAATGTCGTTGTAACTTTAAGTAACCATCCAATTAAAAAGGAACAGGTTCAATTGACAACAGTAATTCAGCAGAAGAAAAAGGAACAGGTTTAATTAAAGGAACAGGTTCAATTAAAAAGGAACAGGTTCAATTAAAGGAACAGGTTCAATTAAAGGAACAGGTTCAATTAAAGGAACAGGTTCAATTAAAGGAACAGGTTCAATTAAAGGAACAGGTTCAATTAAAGGAACAGGTTCAATTAAAGGAACAGGTTCAATTAAAGGAACAGGTTCAATTAAAGGAACAAGTTCAATTGACAACAGTACTTCAGCAGAAGAAAGGCTGAACTAACTTATGTAGAAAATCATTTTCAAAAAAGAGAAAAATAGATATTTAAATCAAACTTGATCAGACATTGCTTTAAAGGTTACTGTTGTAAATCCGACATAAGTTCTATAAATGGAAGGGCAGTTGAAATTACGCCTACAGTCCCTTTAATACTTTATTATAAAAATAAATATATTCTACCTTTAAAGCAGATTTGAGAACAACAATATCTCCAGCAGGCTGGATCCAGGGCTCCCCATCAACCTAGATATAGTCGCATAATTAGACAAGATAATATAAATTTGGTATTAAATACCCTTTCCTCCAAATGGGAGAAAAAGTTGAGAAAATTGAAAATTCATACTTTACCCCCCCTCTTCCCCCCCATTATTGTACTTTTCATTCAAAAGAATATTTATCCCCATCTCAGCAAAATAATAAGTTTGTTTCCGTTTTGTGCAGAACAGTGAGTACTGACTGAACTAGTTTACTAGGATATTTATACTCCTAAAAGATCTAACTAGAACTGTTTCGCATCCACCTGATGCGATAAGGATCAGTTTATCATCCCTGTGCAACCGTCTTATTTACACCCCTGGATTCAATATCTGTTCCAAGAAGAAAGAAGATTCCAGAAGACCAGTTTTTTTCTAGTTTGCATATTATAACTGGTTTGAGATCTGTACTGCGCACGGAACTCAACTAGTATTATCAAAGATTTTGTAGTTGACACAGCGTATATTGTCTCTACGTTTTATTTATTTTACTGTGAAGTGTTTCGAGGATCAATGTGGTGAGTTATCCTCATAAATATTCTTTATAAATGCTTATTATTGATATTTACTCCAAAGATTATATTCGTATGCTGCAGTTTTTTAATGCCTAATTAAGATAGTTTGTTTAGCTCAAAGTAAAATATGATAAACGTTTAGGTACTTAAAGCTTTTTCTATAGCCTTGTATTCGTTCTTTCGATCTATACAAATGTTTTGTAGATTGAACTGTGCAATAAAACTTGAAGATTGAGTTCATTTTGGAGAGATCTAAGAGCAGAGCAGCTTACCGTCAGATCCGCAGAAACACCACGTGGTATATATACTTTAATCTAGGGCAACTGGGTAGTTGCGAAACAAAAACAGTCAGGGGCGTATACAGGACTTTTCAGGTTAGGTTGGGAGGGGGGAGGGGGTGCTGAGGTGGGATCCACTATTTTTGACATTCCATCTCATATGGGGCAATCATACCTTTTAATTTTCAAGGGGTGCCTTAGCCCCCGGCCAACAGCGCCCCTTTAATTTACAAAGCACACAATAAATAAAACCAGAGATAAAGTCACTTATACCTGCACTGGTACTTCTCTGTTCATGTGGATCTTTAAATGGCTTCCCTAAAATAACAACAAATGAAAAGAATCGAAAATCTGCAGTTAAAAAAATATAATTATTAAAACTTGCATTGTTAAAAGCCAAAAAAGAGTTCAACAATTAACATCTTTTTGCTTTACATTCAGAGCATAGACGTTTTTTTTGAATTTATATAAAAATATCTTGATAAAGCACTTTCTTAACTTTCTTAAAGAACTGTTGATGAAATTAAAAGCGACCCTCCATGTCCAATTCATAACAGTCATGTTAAACCTTAAAAATTTTGCTTTCTACAAAAGTGATGAATTCTGAGTCGGTCGCGTTGATTTCTTCTTCTCCTACTATGCATAAATCCGCAATAAGTCGATAAGTTAGAAAAGAAAAGATAACTCAAACTAAGGTTTAAGGGATACCGCTATGAGTCTGACATTTAAACTGGGGGTCTTTTTAAAAATTACGGTTGGCGTCTTTTAAAAAAAAGAATTGAATAAAAATTACCTGTGCTATACGTATAGCTGATCTTAGCCCTGACTGTATCTGTCCAAGATGAACCATCCCTGTGACTCCAACCACCTCCAACATACCGTCCCAATGATTGGGTTTGGAAAACTTATCATCTTTCTCCAGACCCCAGGGGTTGGCCCCAGATCCCCAACTAAATTTATTTATATATAATGTAAACCAGCACGGTTTCATGCCCGTTGTACATTATACTTATTCAGTATTGTACATAAATAGTAGAAAACACAGACCTAAACCTAATCCAGGGTTCAGTTGTCTTTTAGAAAGTCTAAACATAGAGCCACGCTCATATCTAGTGTGGATACAAGAAAAGAGAAAAGCTCAAGATAATGGTTAGTCGGAGCGGTGCAGCTGCCCCGGGTAAGAGCAGAGAGGTGATACCGGTTACCAAGACACGGAGAATAACGGATCCTCATCCATGTTTAAAACCCTGATAGGGTTAATAACTTAGTTTTGATGAAGGAATTGGAAAGGCTGGTTATGGAAGAATATGTCCGCCAACCAAGGAGGAGAAATACAATAACAGAGTTCAATCTTTCGATAACTCTGATAGAATTAAGGCTCATACAAATCCAATCAAATCCAATCAAATCATAAGTTACTCCAGTAGTGGATCGGAGTTTCAAGTCCTCTCCGTGTCCTGGTTTTTCAGCCCGGACTTCTCTGTTAGTTATACATTATTTCCTACTTCGAATTTCCGAACCAAATCTGAGCCATGCCCCACTTAAGAACAACTATCATTGAAGAGTTGACACCCATGAGTTTTAAGTTCGAATGATGAGGCTCACTTAGTCCAAAGTGAATAAATACTAAAGTGGAACAGACTAAGGGAACGACGACAGGTTGGGCCATAAGGTTTAATTTGGTTTGGAAATAATTTCATGAAAAGATTTCGTTTGGAAAGTAAAGACTAGAAAAAATAGACTAAAGACCCATGTAAATGTCGTCTTCAGATAGAAATACGAAATTTTCACGATTTAAAATCAAAATTTTTTGGACGTTTCTATGAAGTTTATATGTAAATACTATTTAGTAGATAATTAGAATAATAATTCCTTCTATTATTTATCACCTCATGATATTTAGAATAATAATTCCTTCTACTAGTTATTACCTCATGATATTTAGAAAAATAATTCCTTCTATTATTTATAACCTCATGATATTTAGAATAATAATTCCTTCCATTATTTATCACCTCATGATATTTAGAATAATAATTCCTTCTATTATTTATCACCACATGATAATTAGAATAATAATTCCTTCTATTATTTATCACCTCATGATAATTAGAATAATAATTCCTTATATTATTTATTACCACATGATAATTAGAATAATAATTCCTTATATTATTTATTACCACATGATAATTAGAATAATAATTCCTTCTATCATTTATCACCACATGATAATTAGAATAATAATTTCTTCAATTATTTACCACCTCATTATATTTAGAATAATAATTCCTTCTATTATTTATCACCTCATGATAATTAGAATAATAATTCCTTCTATTATTTATCACCACATGATGATTAGAATAATAATTCCTTATATTTATTATTACCTCATGATAATTAGAATAATAATTTCTTCTATTATTTATCACCTCATGATATTTAGAATAATAATTCCTTCTATTATTTATCACCTCATGATAATTAGAATAATAATTTCTTCTATTATTCATCACCACATGATAATTAGAATAATAATTCCTTCTATTATTTATCACCACATGATAAATAGAATAATAATTCCTTCTATTATTTATCAAATCATGATATTTAGAATAATAATTCCTTCTATTATTTATCACCTCATGATAATTAGAGTAATAAGTCCTTCTATTATTTTTCACCACATGATAATTAGAATAATAATTCCTACTATAATTTATCACCTCATGATATTTAGAATAATAATTCCTACTATTATTTATCACCACATGATAATTAGAATAATAATTCCTTCTATTATTTATAACCTTATGATATTTAGAATAATAACTCCTTCTATTATTTATCACCTCATGTTATTTTGAATAATAATTCCTTTTATTAGTTATTACCACATGATAATTACAATAATAATTCCTTCTATTATTTATCCCCTCATGATATTTAGAATAATAATTCGTTATATTAATTATTACCTCGTGATATTTGGAATAATAATTCGTTATATTATTTATTACCTCATGATATTTAGAATAATAAATCCTTCGATTAGTTATGACCTCATGATGTTAAAAATGATAATTCCTTTTATTAGTTATTACCTCATGATATTAAGAATAATAATCATATTAGTTAATACCACATTATATTTAGAATAATAATTTCTTCTTTTAATTATTACCTCATGATATTTAGAATAATAATTCCTTTTATTAGTTATAACCTCATGATGTTTAGAATAATAATTCCTTCTATTAATTATTACCTCATGATATTTTTAATAATAATTCATTCTATTAGATATTACCTCATGATATTTAGAATAATAATTTCTTCTTTTAATTATTACCTCATGATATTTAGAATAAAAATTCCTTTTATTAGTTATGACCTCATGATGTTTAGAATGATAATTCCTTCTATTTGTTATTTCCTCATGATGTTAAGAATAATAATTCCTTCTATTAATTATTACCTCATGATATTTTGAATAATAATTCCTTCTATTAGATATTACCTCATGATATTTAGAAAAATAACTCCTGCTATTAATTATTACCTCATGATATTTTGAATATTAATTCCTTCTATTAGATATTACCATATGATATTAAGAACAATAATTCCTTCTATTAATTATTACCTCATGATATTTAGAATAATAATTCCTTCTATTGGAGGGAGTTCAACATTATTCCCATCCACCTCTAATTTGAGAACCTAGATTTTAAACAAACAATAAATCAATCAAGTAAAATCATTTTCAGGTAGAACACTTTTCAATTGCGGGTTCATTATTCAAGGACATGATTATAAAATCAATCTTTAATCTTCACAATGATTTTTTCCCATTTTGTTTAGACTGATAGCAAGGAGCGCAAAAAAAATAAGTGATATATTAATAACTTAGGAAAAATATATGATTTTTAGCACATTCATCAAACCAAACCAACAGTTGTATAATCCGGATACAAGATGTTACCTTGTGAAGATCTTTACACATTTTTCTTCCGACCATTTTCCTCAATGAAACTTTGACGTAAACGCCTGAAAAAACAAATTTTATAAACCTAGATAAATAAATTCACTTCTATATATAAATTTGGCTTGTCTGTCTGTTTGTCTGTCTGTTTGTTTGTATCCAATAAACGTCAAAACGGCTGAACCGATCGGGCCCAAATTTTTTGTGGGACATCTAGGGACCCCAGGGAAGGTTTATGAATGAATTCCAACGATATTTCCTTTAAAGAAGTTTATGCTGTTTACCTTTATTATGCAGACGAGAATTAAACTTTTCAGGTTTCTCCTCCCTATACAGTTTACATAGAGATTAATAGAGATATTATTCATAGAGTATATACAAGAATAGAACTACTGTTTATAGAGTGTATATATAAATAGCATAAGTATTAATTAAGTGTTATACAGTGATAACTAATATAACATGAAATGATTGTCATCTTCACTCTTTTCTTTAGAACTTCCTCTAAGAATTTGGCGATTAAGATTAAAAATTATTCTTAAATTAGGCATTTAAAACAAAAGAAATAACGAAAACAACAATCATTATATTATTTTTTTTTATATTGGATACCACAGCATTATATTTCTTTGAGCTACAATGTCACATTTTTCTTTCATACTTGTAGGAGAACACTGTGTAAAACATTAAGGTCCTGCCTGGCATTATGAAAATCTAAGCAAAGATCGGCATCAAGCCCTAGACCAAAGTAGTTGTTCATCACGAATATTTGTGCATTATCTTCATTAGTTTGTGCTGAGGATATCAGGGGCTTTCCATCAGCTCCAGGTGTCCCAGATTCATCAGACAGGGGCCTAGAAATTAATAAATAAATTTATATTATATCTTTAACAAATCATGTTATTATAAACAGACTCAAACAAATTTACGAGAGATTAACCCAATTAAGAAATAATTGAAATAATAAGATTATTTGAAAATTCAAAACATGCAAAATATAGTGGGGAATGAGTCTGCAATTAAGCTTCTTAATACAGAAGACGACATTTAAAAACATAAAACCACATTAAGTTTTTGTTTTTTACNATTACTTTAATGTTTGGTTAACTACCCCTTTTCCAACTGAATACTACTCCTTGTCTCCACCTACCTGAATACTGCCCCTTGTCTCCACCTACCTGAAAACTACTTCTTGTCTACACCTACGTGATTACTACCTCTGTCTCCACCTACCTGATTACTACCCCCTGTCTCCATCTACCTGAATACTTTCCCTTGTCTCCACTTACCTGAAAACTACCTCTTGTCTCCACCTACCTGAATACTACCCCTAGTCTCGCCCTAGCTGAAAACTACTTCTTGTCTACACCTACCTGAATACTACCCCCTGTCCCCACCTACCTGATACTACCCCCTGTCTTCACCTACCTGAATACTACCCCTTGTCTCCACCTACCTGAATACTACCCCCTGTCTCCACCTACCTGAATACTACCCCCTGTCTCCACCTACCTGAATACTACCCCCTATCTCCACCTACCTGAATACTACAGTCCATCTATCTAGACGTATCTCCTCTGCTTCTATAACATCTCTCAATAAGGATTGTGGATCCTCGTCACCTCCATATCCTGGTCCCCATCTTAGTACACGCGCTAAATCATTCCCTAAACATAGTCTTGTTTATAATTTTGGTTTGTTTCTTGATAGTTTTGGATAGCTTTTTGATTTTTTTTCTGCATACATTTTCTGTCAGGGTCAAAAATTTGGCATATCGTAAAAAAGCAAATGTTTTGAACAATAATTAACTCATGTTCTACTACTTTATTCACATCACTAACTACACATAGTAGTTCTATAACATACCAACACTCGCACTTTTTTCATCGAAGACTACAATTTAAAACTTTATTTAATTTTTCATAAACTAAAAAACTTGGAAGGCTTGATAAATAATGAAATTTACGATGAAAAGCGCTTAGTTTAAAAATGATTAATTGCTGTTTTTCTGCTTACTGTTCCTGGATCCCCCAGTTACCTGTTCCAAGGGGTACAATTGCACAAGGAGGGTTAGAGCACTGGGAGTCCTGTCCTACATTATCCAAACACTGTAGAACCCATCTAAACACATATATACAATTAATTTTATCCTTTTATATGTTTTGATGTTTATATGTTTGTTTATATGTTTATATGTTTATATGTTTATATGTCTATATGTTTACATGTTTATATGTTTATATGTTTTGATGTTGTGTGTTTGTTTATATGTTTATATGTTTATATGTATGTATTTTTATATGTTTATATGTAAATATGTTTATATGTGTATATGTTTATATGTAGCTAGAAAAAATGTTGTCTTAAACCTGAACAATCCTTTTATTCTTTATTTACCCAGGTAAAGATCCATAATCCCTTCAATCTATATTTACCACTGAAAAGGTCCTAATCCCTTAAATCTTTATTTACCCCTGTAAAGGTTCACATCCCTCATCTATATTTACCCCTGTAAAGGTTCACATCCCTAATCTATATTTACCCCTGCTAAAGGTCCATTCCTTTCATATATTTACCTCTGTACAAATCTACAACCCCTTTAATTGATATTTACTTTGGTAAAGGCCCATAATCCCTTTAATCTATATTTACACCTGTAAAGGTCCATTTTCCCTTTAATCTATATTCACCCTGGTAAAGTCTACAATCCCTTTAATCTATATTTACCCCTGTAAAGGTTCATAATCCCTTTAATCTATGTTTACCCCTGTAAAGGTTCATAATCCCTTTAATCTATATTCACCCTGGTAAAGGTCTACAATTCCTGTAATCTATAATTACCCCTGTAAAGGTTCATAATCCCATTAATCTATATTAACCCTTGTAAAGGTCTACAATCTCTTTAATCTATATTTACCCTGGTAAAGGACCTCCGACTGAAAGATCAAAAACTTGGTAGGGATTTAAGAGTTTCCGGAAACTAGAAATCAACTGTAAACCCTAAAATTTAAAAAACTTGTTAAATATGTCAAATCTAAACAGAAAACGCATTATTTGGTGCTTACAGCCAATATTTTAATCCAATGTTCCTTTTATACAAAAAAAAGCTAAATTTTCCTAGGCAAATTTCTAACAGATTTAAAAATTGCCTTTTTTAAAATAATTAATTTTTGCCAAATTGACAATCAAAAAGAATAGAAGTTTTGTACAAATAATCAAATTGTTCTTTTAGTTGTTTAGTAAATGATTCAGAATAATTGAAAAGATCAACTTTGTTTTTTTCTACATCATGGTTAATTATTCCACAGGGTCACCCACAAAGGGTAAAACTTCAGAGACGACTGGACAGAATTTAAATTCGTAAATCAATGCAATTCTTAAATTACTTCCTTTTTAGTCAAATTATTAACTATACAATCGTTATATTTTAGGAGTTTCAACTGTCGTCATTAAAATCTCATTCTTTGTGTGCAACCCTGTATTGTTTGTTAGTAGTTGAAAGCAAACTAATAATGAATTTTAATTAAAATGTAACCTGACAACCCCCTGATTTTACATTCACGAAAACAAGAAGCGGAACTGTTTTCACAGGTATCATAGAGGGGTCAATAGTCGGGAGCATAATCACTAGATAAACAAGAATTTAAAGATTGATTAGATGCAGTGGCAGGCGTTTATATCAATACCATGCCAACACTTTCTTTTTTAGCTTAGCTCTTTTTCAGCAGAGAAAAATTAAAGAAGTAAATAAAGATTATGATTTTTATGCAAGATTGAAATCTTAAATATTTTCACTCTCCTCTTTTAAAAGAGACCGAGAAGAAGAACAATTTAAGCAATTTCTGAAGTATAACCGGATAGATTTGCTTTCAACAGCTCGCGCGTAAACTAAAAAAGGAAGCTACGAGGTCACAAAGTCGTATCACTAAATAAATTTGACTTTTCTTCATTGTCTATAGTTCGCAGTGAAATATTCTTTGTTTATTAAATACTAGATAAATTGATGAGAGCTTCAGAAGATAAATCTTGAAAACTGAAAATAAAAATTCTCAACCAATCTAAAGGTAATAGGAAGTTGCTTATTATTTTCGTCAAACATTTGAAATTTAAATATTATTTAATTATTTTCTCTCGAGATGTATGTTAATACAGTTCTTAGGGGCTCATGGAGCTTTCTTTTATAGTGGTTGGAAAATTACGGTATATACTTTTTTCCCTTACCTAAAAGATTTTTATCTTCATATACCCTGTTCTTTAGTGTTTCATACGCATCCACAGCACTATTAGAACTGTTGAACGTGATAACCATTGAACCATATTCATAATATATTGGTCCTAGACTCAGAGCTCTTTCATCTAAACAATATAAAACATTATTAAGAGTGTCCATGCTCAATTCACAACCTGAATACGCCTCTCTTA